AGAAATGGTAAACGTGCAGCGTGCAACCATGGAGTTATGGATGAACGCGGGAGGTTGCTAAGCACGAAAGAAGCGTAAGATTAGCAAACCTCCCAAGTGCATCCATAACTCCATGGTTGCACAGCTGCAACGTTTACCATTTCTTTTATAACATAATCAAAAGAGAAAAACATTGTTTTCCATTTGCCTTCAGTTGAGTCATCGGTCGGAGTTCATGTATGCTGCCATCTGCCCGCGCGTAAACAAATCATGTTCTATGTTTTTCAAAACTTGCCTTTGAGTTTTTCTTTCGCTGAATCAGCCGTTCTCCGTCTTCAGGTAAATTGCAAAACGTTTTTTGTTGTTATTGTGAATGGCATCTGTCTACTTGCTCTTAATATTAGGGTAAAAACTTTGAGGGAAAACTATATCTGCAACTATAAACACCAACTAAAAAGACTCTAAAAAATAAGCTAAAACTAAATAAATGAAATAATTATCAAGCTTATTTTTGTGACAATTTTTGAAATAACCGTAAAGTAGAAATGAGAAAATTTGACAGTAATAATTATTCCTTTAGAATAACAGGTAACACTAATTTTAAAAAGAAATTAACTAGCTTTGTATCGAAATCTGTCTGGGGAAATCCAGCTATGAAAGTCAACTGAAATTCGCCGACACACAGCCGGCGCTGAAGCTGTTGTTTTTCGACTGTTCCCTGAACGACTGTTATGAATGAACACTGAGGAACAAAATAATACACACAGAAGTTATTTTTTGAAAAATTTATTTGAAAACCCAAATGTTTCTGTACTCAAATGAAATTCGCTTATTCCAGCGTTATGTGCCCGTTTAAACTTAACTAAAATTGTTAATCGATGCGATGAAAACTTCACAACAAAGCTGTCTCGAATTTGAGCGTGTTTCCTAAAATATTTGCTTGAATTTAGCATCAGCTTGACCAAAAAGTCAATAACACAATGGTAATTGATAAATTTACATTTCAAACAGACTTTCTCCTCTATAAAAAAACACACAAAATGTACCTTAAATCTTCGCTCGCTCGATTTTCCTCCAGCCGATTCTAGTCGCGACGAAAACAGTGATTAATTCATCCAGGGCAAATTTGTCGCTTGATCTTTTGTCTTTTTTCCTTCAAAACGACAGCTTAGTATTTTCTTCACCTTCCACTTTTCATCTGTGCATTTCATCGGTGTATTTTAGCGTCGGGAGAGGAGATTTGTTGAATTTGCCTAAATTTTACCGCGCTAGCTCAGTTTCTTAGCGTGCACCCACGGGCAAATGGCAGTGGCTAACTGACCAATCAGAGCGCGCGATTTACTTTTGTTACGTTATAACACAATTTTGCAATACACTGTACTCAACATTCAGGTCGATCGAAGCACGCGTGGGCTTTTACCGAAACCGTTAAAAAAATTTCTTAAATCACCTATACGGCTTGCCGATTCTCACTTTTGACAAGTGCCAAAGTCGACTGTTTAAATCAAGATTAATAGAGTTATACGCTTTAACATGATAAAAAATTTATTATGTTTATTTCTTTATATATTTAACGGTTTTATAACTATGTGTAATCTTCAAAAGCGTTTGATACACGCGGCAACTACTCCTGCAAGCGATGTTCGTGAGCGACGGAAAACAAACGGCACAGCGATTAAAATTGCAAAAGAGACTACTAACAATTAATAAAAGGATAATAATTCGGTGAAACATATACAGAGACAACAATTTTCATTCACGAAGACAAGTAAAAAGTGTCTCTGAAAATCCTTGTTTATGTTTTAAGCCGGCTTCCCGGCGTTTGCTTTTTTCAAAGATGAACTCGAGGCAAGAAAATCGCTCAAAGCTTTCTGTTAGAGCCAGAATTATAACTAAATATTCTTTGGAACGTTTTCTTTCTATTTGCAGTGAGAAAATGTCTAAAGGCTTTTTAAAGTTCTGTAAGCTTATAATCAAACCTGACACTCGGTCACATCGATCATTGTCTCAAATCTTACAAACGTGCATAAACTAAATAGGCGCATAAACTACGCCCGACTTCATTAAATTAGATATAAAAAACAAACATCAAATAGAATAATTACTCAGGCTTACCATTCGAGATGCTCTGAAAACTATCAAGTAAGTCCAGAATCACTTCAGACTTTTCAACCCTCTTATGCATCAAGCAAGGTGAAAAACGAAAACGATGCCATCCGAAATCGGATTTTCGACTTTGACAAGCGACGTATTTCTCAACCAAAAACCCAATAAACAAACTAGCTATGAATAACAGAAGACTCTTGATTATGATAGCAGCAGAATTTCATTTTGTACATTCAGCGGAGAAAGACAGTTAAAAACATCAGAAGTTGACACAAAACTCTGTCAGCTTCAGCTGTCAAAGTAAACAAGTTTCAAGATGCTGCATAAATTTTCTGCGTAAACTCACGTGTCAAATTTTGACCAATCAGAGCATAAAGATTGGACGTAGAGCGTGACCAACGCGTGACCTTATTGAGAAAAGTCAAAAGCAACTGGCATGTCTTCCCTGCCTGTAAAAACTGGCTGAATTTTAGCTTCCGAGGTCAGTTTGAAATCAAAATTTTAATTGTGCGACACATATGAAACACAACATATTTCATATGAATTAAAAAAAATTAAACTTGAGCCTGCGATCATTTGAAAACTAGTAACTTGTCAGCGGATAACTTTAAAAAGATACTCGACCTCGATGGGTCTACACCTGAGCCCGCGATACGGTCAGGTGATACTGGTCAGTGGATACCCTGTTTTGACAACTGTCAATTGATCACAACATTGATGTACAATATGTGTGCAATATTAGTCTTCCTGTGCTACCAAACTAGCTAGAAAGTGTGAGATTGAACATTGGTTTTCCTGTGGTGCGGACGGACGGGCGGGCTGCGGGCGGTGTACGGTCACGTGATTACCAAATTTTCTCGGATGGGTAGATTTACTTACCCATGGTGCTCCGAAGGCGCGCTTCGCGCGCCAGAGCTCCGCTAATAGACTCAGCTGTATTGCATTGAACGACGCGGCTTATGGTCTTTCCGCGGAACGTTGGTTTCGGTCGATGATATTTAGTGTCAACACGTCACGAAATCCTATCTAACATCGACCGAAACGCGAAACCTAACCTCAACTCGGCTGCGGCGCCGAAAAAACCTACATGAAATAAACCCCGCGAGAGTACAGATCCCATCCCAGTTTTATTGCTGTCATTAGAGTCTCAAACAGTTGTTTTCCAGCCTTTCGACTTTCACCTAAGAAAGTTTAAGAAGTTCATAATAGAAAAGTTCTACTTTCACAAAAAAGCTGCAACATTCAACTTGACATTGGCTCAAGTTGAGAGGATAATTGGGCTGGCACGGATCCGCACCGATTTCCACCGTTTTACCGAAATCGGTCGGATTTTTGATAATCAATATATTTTTAATAATAAAAAAGTTTTCCAAGTTGAGATCTGGAAAATGGTGGACTCACCTTGCCTTATATGGAAACTTGATGAAATAATCCGCCGAGTTAGGAGAATGGAACTGACCAATATCGAGAAACCCAGGAAAGGGGACTTTCGGGCCGGAGTTAAAATCCATAAAAATCGCGGCGAAGCAAGAGTTTCCGCAGTATTAGCTTGTATTATTTTCCCCGACAATTTTAAATGCATTTTACACCTTTAAGAAGGTTTGGTTTTTCATTGCTCTCCCTCACACAGTTCTAATCAGAAAAATACGGCTTAACTTGGGATGGAAATTTTAAAAAGAAGTGTGAAAAATTCAGCGTTCTTCAGACAACTTTTCAGCTGAACTCAAGCTGCAAAAAAATTCTAAAATCTATTACTTCCTGTGAACTTGAAGAATAAAGATGGTCGACAAACTGTAAACTTGTGGAAAATAAAAATTACCCACGGTGAATCGCTTGATTCTGCTCCCGCCATTGTCCTTCACAGAGTATTTTCAGTTGGAAAATTTTAGATTTGGCGCCAATGTTGGAGCGTGACTGTGCAAGTAGAACTTTTTATTATGAACTTCTTAAACTTTCTTAGGTGAAAGTCGAAAGGCTGGAAAACAACTGTTTGAGACTCTAATGACAGCAATAAAACTAGGATGGGATCTGTACTCTCGCGGGATTTATTTCGTGTAGGTTTTTTCGGCGCCGAAGCCGAGTTGAGGTTAGGTTTCGCGTTTCGGTCAATGTTAGATAGGATTTCTCCCCAATTTCCTTCCCTTTTTTTCTTGTTTGCGCTTTCACAATTCTGCGGACCCGACTATCTCGGAGCCTGAAACAGCCTACCTCCTCGGCAGTCTGAAAAGACCGGCGTATCCCCCCGAAGGCTGACTTTATGCAGGCTGGTTGAAAAAAAGTCAAAGATATGTGACTGAGATTGTTGTGCCAACAAACAAAGAAAACAATCACAGTCAAATAAAAAAGTAATACCGTCTACCTTAGATTGTGTTTTTTCAATCAAAATGCACTGACAGTGTTTTTTCCTCTTTCCGTGAGAAAATAGCAATTTTGAGATGTCCAGTGTCTTTTGAGACGCGCAGTGGGCAAAAAAAACGTAGGAAAATTAAACAGGAAGACAAGCCGTCACAACATTGATTGACTGATCGATTACAGTTCTTATCTCCCTCGGCGATAGAAACGATAAACGTAAACATACTTACCAATTGAGCACTGCGTGGGGAAATCATTTGTTTACGTTAACGTCGAAAACAGAAGTGCGAAGGCTTTTCTCCTGGGTATTGACGTGTATATTGGACCAGACCACTGGAGTTAATTAAGATTAGCCGATTAAGATTGTTCCCGTGAGATTAGAAGGTAAATCTGCCAGGAAAATCGTGAAAATTTAGCGTTTAGCGGTGCCGGCGTGAATTCAGCATTCAAGTTCATTATTATTCTTCGCTTTAAAAAGAGGAGGATAAATGTTGTGTTATTTATTAACTAAGTGTAAATGACAAGAATCGGTATGGAGAAACACTAAAGGGACAGTAACACAGCAATCTACGGTCAGCTCGCGTAATGAAGAAAGTTCAACATGCAACAGAGGTATTTCATTAGCGTGGTTTATATCATCCGTTATCATCCAACACGTATTTCAATACTAAATAATACCAGACTAAGGAAATATTATGATTATTATAGACAACGGTGTGGATAACAAGATTGACAACAGTAGCTGTGGTCACACTACAGACTTTTACCTAGGTAAACCCTTTTTACCTAGGGCAAATTTATCAAAAATCTGCCTACGTAAATTCATCTCGGGTTTTGTTTTACCCAGGTAAAAATTCTGGGAAGCGGCTCTCAATATTTTCACGCCGGTTGAATTTTTTGGAGCGTCAATTAAAGGAGGCAAAATGCGCAGGGATCAAGCTGATCAAAGAGAAGTTTTTTTTCTTTTATCTCGGTGTTATTTCTTACGCTAATTCAACGTGCAAGGTGAAGAAAGGCGAAGACGTAGACGACTTGTGCTCTCAAAATTTCTTTCACAGCGACGGTGATCTATGTCCGGTTCTGTCATCAAGACCTTCGCCGATGACCGTTTATTGGCTAGCAACCTCTGTATTTCATTTTTCCCTAGCTATTGCTTTGGGGTAACTGTCAAGGGAAACTCTATTGTTTTCGAGACATATCCAAGACCCAGACGATAAAATTTCCCCGAGGTAAGTTACTTAGGGAAAAATCGGTCACACGTAAAAAATCAAGTTTCCCTAGGTAAACTGTCAACAAGTCGTGTTTACCTAGGTAAAAAGTCTGTAGTGTGACCACAGCTATATGTCGATGTTAACCACCAAAATGGTTGTTCGGTATAGAGTAACGAGGAAATTGGTGAAATTCTATGACTTTGGGATTTATTTTGACCTCCGCTGATAGAACAGTTACAGATATTTAATCATTATTTTCTCTTTCCAGCTGAGCATGCCACGTCTTTTGCATCTGTGTAGTGAATATAAATAAGTTCTGTTATTTGCTTACCTTTAGGGAGATGCACAATCTCCAGGAGAAAAACTGCTGGTAACAACAGAGCTTGAACGAGAAAGGAACGTCAAACGAACCAAACGACTCACCACACGTGAAAAGCTGTCAAGAGGTTTTATAGCTTTCCTACTTGTCATGTTCTTTCTCTTGGCAGTTATATTTGGATTTCTTTACGCAAAACGTGCTCATTCAAATTTGCAAACGAAAGAGCAGTGCCTCAAATCGTACCCGTGCGTGACAAAAGAATGCGTGCTAACAACAGCAGGTAAGATGAACTCATTGTATGTGACTTATGATTCATTGCTATGCTATAGCTTCGAAATGCTGAAACTTCTGTTCGGTCATTGTTGTCATTCATCGGACCACCCGTAAAGTTAAGGGGATCTTGTCTAGCCTGAGTATCATATCCTCTCCCCTTTTCGCTTCTCTTTTCGCCCTTTCCCTCAGAAACGTCTGATACTCAGGCTAGATCTTTTCCTAGAGGGTAAAGAGCGGGATAAAACGAAGTGCTGGTGACTATATACACCACTGTATATACTCTGTGTTGCACGTGTAAAGCACCCTCGGTATTTGAAATAAGTGTTTATGAAGGTAACGCTTTAGTCAAAGCTTCAATGAGGCCGATCTCGGCTACTTGGCCTGTACAGTAACTAGCACTTCAAACGTAATTAGAAAGAGATTATTCGGTCAACTTGAGCAGAGAAAAAGTTTTCAGATGTTCTCAAGGTAATTCCCTTGAATGGGTGTAATATTCATTTCTTTTTTTCAAACTATGCACAATTCAAAGTGGACAGACTGCAAATTATAGTAGTTGCCAAAAAATATATATCTACGTGTCGCAATTGTTCATCAGTAGGATGCCTAAAATGTGTGCAATTCCACAATTGCTTTCGGCTCTATTGAATCCTATACCAATTGCAGAACATTTTAGGAGGAGCCACCCACCATGTGAGCATAGTCACGGACAACACATATAAGTGAGGAAAATAACGCAAAGTAAAATTAAGACGTTAATTAACGAAATGTACACGTCAATTAAATATAGAAACAAATAATGCACGCGCTCAAAATAAAATTGTACGCGCACACGTACCAAGATACAACTGAAATACAACTCTAAGCAATAAAAAAGTAATGTAACGATACGATTGACAGCCATATATAGGAAATGTAAAAGTGTAATAAAACGATGCTTGTCCTTGTCTGCCCTGGCCTTATTCTTAGCGTTTTTTCCAATTTGCACCAGAAATGTTCGAATTAGTCTGCACTGCAGGCGTATTTTGGGTGGGAAAAACCTTGTTCGTGTTCGTAATATTGTTGTAGCGGCCATCTTTGATTTTATGACAGTGGAAGATTGGGGAGAGTAGAAATAGTAACCCTTAAGGGAAGGTGCTCCCTTTGACTCGCCCCATCTCCTCCTCTCTTCGGGAAGTTTCAACATGTCGCTTTCACGAGCAAATTGAGCGCTCAAAGAAAACGCCTGCACTGCAGGCTATGTTCGAATGAACAACCGTTAATTAATATAGCAAAAACTATGAATCTTATTAAAAGCAATTTCATCCCGTTTGATTATCTGGGTTATAATTATTTTTCGTTAAAATGACTTCCAATTTCCCGATCTTAAAAAAGGTGTACTAAAAGGCGGATTTTCACGTAATTCATAACTAACTAATACAATTTCTGCTATCTAGATTTTTTTTCAAGTAAGATATTAGTCCGCAAAATGTACCGTTCGAGTAAGTTTTACGTCGTTATTTGCTTGCTGTCAAGACATCTATGGTCGTAACTACATCCAATGACGTAAAAATGATCACTTCCAACCATGATTTGCCATTTTATAATGTCTAAACTCGAGCGCGATGTTTTTGTATTGGCAGATTTTATCACTTCTTTGCCCCCTGAGAAACCACGTGACACCGCGTTTATCCCATTAAGCGCGTGCAATGATGGCGGGTATCGTGAATGAGGTCTATTACATTCAGTTCTTTCTACCATATTCATAACACTATCAACGATAAGGAACTACCTCACTCAAAATGATACTGAGTCACTGGTTTATGCTTTTACATCTTAAGATTGTATATTATTATGTCCATTCCTTGTAGACTCAGGCAGGATGTTCGGCCTGGTTTATAGTCCTTGGGAGCGGGTTACAACAAGTCATCAAGGGTCCCTGGTCTCTCTTTTCCTTCTTCTTACAGGGACAGTCCTTAGTATCTTTGCCGTCCCCAACAATGCTGTTTTCTGGATAACTGCCAACCACGCGTTCACGCCGATTCGCTTCTTGTACTCTTTCAAGTTGACTGATACGGCTCCAAGGGCCCCAATAACAACAGGCACTACAATGACTTTCCGCACGCGCCAGACTTTTGCAATTTCATCTTTCAATAGTTGGTATTTCTCTAACTTCTCAAGTTCCTTACCTTCCACCCTGTCATCACCTGGGATGGCAACACCAGTTATGACAACCTCTCTCTCCTTATCAATAAAGACAATGTCTGGTCGTTTTGCGTCAATTTTCCGTTCACACTGGACTGTGAAATCCCACAGTACCTTGAAGGTTTCACTTTCCACTACTCCCTCCGGCTTCTGTTCATACCAGCTCTTAGCTCTTTCCAGTGTCTTTCCAATCCACATTTACCACAAAGTTGCCAGTGGATATACCGTGGCACGTTATCATGCCTTCCTTTATATTCTGTCTGCGCCAGCTTACCGCACTCACTCCCCACATAGGCCACCGTTTCTTCCTTACTTCCGCACATTCTGCACAAAGGGGATTCTGCTGTGTGATCAATATGAAATCTCGTATAATTTTTTCTCAAAGCTTGTTCCTGGGCGCTACTCAGTACATCCTTTCAAATCTCCTTTTGTAATCCACTGCCAAGTTCTATCCCAGTCAACTTCCTTTTCTCTCACATAGTGCCCATGCATTCTTTTCTGCTTCCATTCATTCTCCGTCTCTTTTACTTCATTCACTTTGTACTCCTTTGGGTCCACAGCCTCTGAGATGTTGACTACATTGCTATCTCCAACTTTCCTGAGTAATACCTCTTCACTATTTCTCACATACCAACTCAAGTTGTTCTCTTCTCTCCTCACGCAGCTCTCATAACTGATCAGGCGTCTTCCTCCCTTCTTTCTGGGTTCGTATATTCTGGCAACATCACTTCTAGGGTGTAGCTCCTTATTCATTGTCATGATTTTTCTAGACTTCCTATCTATTTCCTGAAGTTCCTCTTCTTTCTATTTAATTGTTCCTGCTCCGTACCTCGTGAGCGACACAGCTTAAGTGTTTGCTGTTTTCATCTTGTTCAATGAGCTGAGATTTCATGACTAGTTTGAACCGCCTTAAGTACTCTGTTCGAAATATGTCTTTCATTTCCCTCTCCTTAAACTTGTCGAACTCTAGAATGCCGCATACTTGTAACCTTCGTCATCAACTTCCTTTATGGTCTGTCCATTTATCAACTTAATACCCTCACTTTTACACAACTTCCTCCGCTTCCGCACCACAACACCACATTTGTTTATCCCAAATTCCATTCCTATGTCTTGGCTAATCAACTGCACTGTCGATACAAGACTTTCAATCTCTGCTTTATCTTTGCCATAGACCTTCAAGTAATCCATAAAGAACAAATGATATATTTTGACGTCTCCTAAGGTATATCCAGCTTTGGTATCTTGTAGGATCTTGGTCAAGAGTACCATGCAAACAGCAAAGATAAGGGGGGACAGGCTGTCTCGTTGAAAGATACCTCGTCTAATATCAACTAAGCCAAGTGTCTCTCCACAAAATGTCAGTTCTGTCTTCCATTTTACCTGGATTTCTGCAGAAAAGTTATTATATTTTCCACTACCTGTGCCATATATAGGCTTTCAATAATCCAAGAGTGAGGCACCATATCGTGTGCTTTCTTATAGTCCACCCACGCCATAGCCAAGTTCTTGTGCTTTCTTTTGCAATCAGCAAGGACCATCTTATCAATCAACAAGTAATCGTTTGTGCCTCTACTCTCTCTCCTACACCCCTTCTCTTCTACAGGCAAAGCATCGTTTTCTGCAAAGAACTCATACATACTATCAGCTATGATCCCTGTCATCAGTTTCCAAGCAAGTGGTAGCTAAGTAGTAGACAGGATATGGGTCGATAGTTATCAACAGCACTACCTCTTTCTTGGTTTTTTCTGACACAGCAGAGTCCTTCCAGTTGTCATCCATACAAGTATGATGACCCTGTTGTTGATCAAATCATTCATGTGGTCCGCCTTTTGTTCATGTAATGCTGTCAATTTCTTGATACAGTAGCCTTGGACGCCATCAGGGCAAGGTGCCTTCCAATTGGGGATCTTCTTCGACCTTGCTGTCACCATTTCAGCTGTTATTACAATGTCCTCCTGTCTAGCTTCTACTCTCTCCTTTTTCAACTCTTTTAACCATTCTGCATTTTCATTGTGTAAAACTTCCTTACCTCATATGTCTCTCCAAAACTGTTGGCTTTCCTCAGCATCAGGTCTAACTTCACTGAAGCTACGAGATGTTCAATTTATTTGTTGATACACCCTCTTTTGGTCTTGCTGGAACAATCTGTTTACTTGATATCGATGAATCCTTTGTTCATACCTTTTCAACTTTACAGATTTAGCCTGCAGTCTTTGCTTAAGTTCTTCAATTACAACCTTTTCTCCTTTCTGTTTGATGTTACACTTCCTCTCCAACTTGGTGTATTTTTCCTTCCTTTTAAGTTGCCCTTGTTTAGATCTTTCCGGGATGTTGACGTGCCTCCGTAACTCTGCAATAGAGTCTTTGATTCTCCTTTTCCACCGAGGTTCTTTGCTTCCTTTTCCCTTGCAACCATTCATTTTGAGTCCAACTTGTCTTGCTATGTAGATCGCAGTAGCATTAATAATTTATTGGTATCAGTGATATTCATGGTAGTTTGTATCTCTGACACTACTCTATTCACCTTCTTCGTCCATTCTGCCAGCACTTTCCTGTCAACTCTCTTAAAACCAGCACCATTCAACACCTGTCCGCTTCTCATAATTTCCAATATGTCCTTTATCATTTGCCTCTCCTCATCATTCCTCGGATCATTGTGTGTAATCTGCACATTGAAATCTCCATTTAGTTCATCGACGTCGACCTGTTCAGGTTCTGTGTCTATACACCCGGCATCCTGTTCCTCTAATTCTTTATCTACTGTAGTCATTCTTCTCCTGATTTCATCCAACTCGACGGAAGTAAACTACTCATTCTTTCTGATCGCCCTAGCCTGATCACATAGTCTCTGCTCTGTTATCTTTGATAAACCTCTTTCCTTCCAGACAGCATGCATTCTCTGTCTATATCGTCTGACTGATCTGCCACTTTCATCAACTGGTTTACTCAGATAGTAGCACTATTATTATTATTATTATTATTATTATTACTATTATTATTATTATTATTATTATTATTACAAGTGATACCGGTAAAAGTAAATTATAATTATTTTACACTATATAAAGCTTCGAGTTGAAACCTTAAAATAATTTGATAAAAAAGGTTAGCTTTTTCGCCTTTCTTCGGTGCCGCATATTTATACGACGAAGTCACGGTTCGACTTCGAGGTTGTCCGCTATAGTGAGAAGTGACTCCATTTGCTTTTTTGAAATGGATGGATGAAAATTGATCGCTCTTTTTGATATACAAATAATGTCCAGTGACATACAAATCATGTCAAAGAGAAACCAAAATCAACTTTTACAGCCTATTCTTAAGTCGCGGCACAAGCCGATTAATAAAATGGATTTACAAGAAGAGATACGAATTGCTCTTTCTGAAAAGAAAACAACAACTTTATAACAGCCTGCAAACCACTAAGCTGAAACTTATGTCATGCTAGGCCCCTTTGAAACGTGGAATTTCTTATGAGTGCCGAACACCTATTTTAGTCGATGAAAGTAATTAAATACGGCAGTTGATTAAGATGTCGGATATGAAGGTGCCGAATTTAACTCCGTTTGTTGTAAATATTTTCAGTCTCTAGAAAACTTTTTAATCCAATATGGATAAGGGTTTCTATAATTAATGCATTATATTCAGCACATGTGAAATGCGACTTCTAAATCAAATGTTGAACCTAAGTAGTATTTTCGTTTGTGTCAGTCGCAGATTCGACAAAGTCGTATTCAATTTGAAACTGTCGAATTTAGTTGATTCAGCGTCCCATCTCAAAGCAGCTACCTCTCGAATTAAATTACCAGGCAAATGTGAAAATCGACAATTGAGCTGGGCAATGATAATAGCGTCTAGTATTATAAAAAATACCGGTAGATACGCTATGATAATATGCCATTTCCTGTGAACTCTGCCTTCAATTTACCACATTATTTTACTAGCTATATGCACTATGCACAGGTAAAAATGAGAGTAAAAAAGAGATTTTACAAAAAGAAAAAAATAGGTTACGAAAAATTTGCTTCAAGGGGATTCGAATCTGGACCCTCAGAATCAGTCAGAACTAAATGTTAACGCCTATATCCACTGGCCCACCTCGGGAAAAACTGACAATTGGAGTTTAACAGAGGTATGTATTCCTTTCCCACAATAAACCATTAATACTTGGCCGGGGAACGTTTAAGAAATTTATGAACTATCGATAGCGCGGCTACCGACTGAACCGTATGACCGTACGATACTCTCCCTGCTCGTAAGGTGTCTTTTCATCGGTCATATCGGGAAAACATTAACACAACATTGTTCATCATTATTTCCATTGTTTTAGGTTAGGGTTAGAAGAGCTGCTACATGACCTCTCTTCCCGAAATGAAGAAAAACAATATGGCCGCCAAATACATTCTTTTAGTTTTTAAGGTTTTCCTTGATTAACAACATTGAACATTTATTTCGGCACACAAACAGTTAAGTTGAAAAAGGATTTTACAAAAGTCTCAAGAGCACGTCTCCTTTTATTTCGCTTTTAATTGGCAAAATCGGTCAATTTACACAACTTTTTCGTTTGGTTGTGCTTTGAAAATGGAATAATAATTACCTAGAGACAATACAGTGTAAAGAATTGTTGAGAAAAATAGCAAAAACTTGCCAACTTATGACACAAAAGGTACTTTAAAAACGAACTAAAACATTCAAAACGCTTTGATCACATGAATGATGACGTCATGTCCCTCTTTTGGTCATGAAAAAAATTATCAGGTAGAACATTGCTTTCCCAGCAAATTTTCTCTGCCATCTGATACAAGGTTGACTCTCTACAGCCCTCGGCCTAGTCTCCCGACTTTTCCGCTCACGTTCATAATCCCCTTAAATTTTAAATGCCGAACGTCAACTGGTTATTTTTAAATGCCCCACACAACTAAAACCTCAAATATGCTATTTGTTTTTAACTCGTTAATGAAATCTTGTCACAACAAAAAAAACCTAATTCGGAAAAAGTCGAGGGGATTATTTAACAATATTAACTAAGCCTGAGGTGAATAATTGTTAGTTTTAGTATATTCACACGAAGTGATCTCAACAGAATCAGAAAGGAAACCATTAAAAAACGATTAGTTTGACTGACGGGTGAATTCCTGCGTGAACACGACGCTGTATGTAAACAGTGGATGCGCAAACAGTATCAGCTAGTATCTCCAAACATGGCAAATTATGGTTTTAATCTTTTTCTATCGATTTTGTAAGCTTTAGCATCAACGGTTTAAAAGAAAACGCCGAAAATTTAAATTACTACCCAATTCTGAGAAGAAAAGTAGAGCTTTATTTGTTTCTGTCAACGACCGTGAATGAGATAGTTTTCTTTGTCGCTTCTTGCAAATGCCGTCAACAGCGGCTACGATCAAGGTGAACGTTGTTTATCTCCAATGTTCTTTGCCTTGTTAACTTGCTGGCACGTACAATTTTCGAAAATACTTGGCTTCCTCTTTTCTCCATAAATTAACTTCCATTTACAGGCAAAATTGGTCTTGCGAGAAAATCCCGAAATCACAAAACAGTGACAAAGCGACCTCGTTTTCCTCTGTAGTGGTAACCATAGCTTCGAGCGTACAAAACGTCATGCAGCTACAGTAAACCACTTCACAATAAATCACGCTGTTTAAACACCATGAAGTCTTTCTTGCCTTCAAAGTCATCAGCACTTGGATATTCGTGTATTTTCAAAATACTTTACTATGAAACTTTGGCAAAACACCCAGCAGGGGCACCCAACGAGGATATAGTTCAAAACCACTTAACATAGCATTGTAGAACGTATTTTAGTATTCAAACGGTAGATATAGGCATATTTTTATCCCCTAAAAACTTTTCATCTGTTCGGATTTCCTAGCTGAAAGTCTAGTGATCCGAAAATTATAGGGATAAAAACTTACCTTCTCGAAAATTTCAGCCATGAAAAGGCTCCCGAAAATTCTAGGTGGCCTTTTTTAGGGTCAAAATCCGTTAAAAATGGGTAATTATACCATTTTGTAGATGTTCGAAAAATCCTAGGAAAGGCAGGCAAGCAAGAAATTTTACAACAAATGCTCCGAAAATTCTAGATCTCAAATCGTCTTCCGAACAGATATTTTCCGGAAAATTGCCGTTGGGTGCCCCTGACCCAGCTGACCCATTTCACGACAGCGATTTTGTTCTGCTTTATATTAACCGCCTAGTGCGGTGAATATAACGTCATAGTCCGAGATAGCTAACCAATCAGATTGCTTGATTTACCAAGATCACTGAGTGTGTATGTACTAATAGTAATTAGTATATACACACTCAGTGATCTTGGTAATTCAAGCAATCTGATCTGTTCGCTATCTCGGACTATTCAACAATATTCACCTCCTAGCGAGTGGATAATGTGTGAGCTCGCTTTTTTCCCATTTTCTTGGAGAAAGATCTTTTAAAAGTCGACAAAATCCTAGGGTTGACTTTTTTTCAGGCAAGAAAAGACTTCGAAGGTTCAAAACGGCATTTTTCCATTTACTGTTGTTGAGTTTTGTGGTCGATGGATTGTTTACAACTCCCGTTTATTCGCCTAGAAGAGGCCATTTTGTGAACTCACCGTTTCCTAACAACAAAAATTTGGCCCAACAACGAAGTTTATTTATGACAAACAAATTTGAAAGCAAATGTTTGCAGAAATTCTACGGTTCAAGTAAACACGAGAAAGAATACTACATGAAAAACGACGTCTTACCTCGAGGAGCCGAATCGCCATTTTTGTCAGCACTTCATGCGAAGAACGACACAACAAACCTTTTCGGCTATAAACTTGGCGAGTCAACAGAAAAACAACAAAGCTCTTTTTTTCTTCTCAGGTAAGGAAACAATTCAAACTTTTAGCGGTTCTTTTGAAGTTATTATTGTTTGCGAAGTGATAAGCTTGTGAATTGCCATGTTTGAAAATTCTACAAAGATCTACTTTTAAACTGTCGCATGTCTAGCTGACCTGATCTGTCAATCAAATTTTACTTTTTAATGGTTTCCTCTCTGATTTTTGCTGAGATCACTTCGTGTGTACATACTAAAACAATTATTCTTTTCAATCTCGGTGAATAGTGGCTTTAGGAATATTTTGCCACTATTCACTTCGATTTCAAAGAATAATTGTTAATTAATACGTTGTGGTTGTTGTTGTCGTTAGTTATTGTTAAACTTCCTATAGAGTGTTTTCACATGACGTCACGGCGGCCATATTGGTGTCCCGAAACAATGAAATGGCGGCCATGTTGGTGTCCCAAACCAATCCTCTGGGAGTTGAACTCTTTTCTTATGCAAACGTTTTCTTTTGTCCCAATAAATTTGCATAAATGCTGGCCACGTGAGTGAAAACACTCTATTCGTTCTCGATTCCAGATGTAAATTATATATCGTCACCTTCATATCTTTATCTTCAACAAAAAAAAAAGAACTCACCAAGTGATCAGCTCCCTCGCTGTGTTGGCGAGAGTGGAGAACATTGCACAGGTATCGTTGAGGGTCATCGGTTTGAATCCAGTTCAAGCCTGAAATTTCTTCAGGCTTTTTTTCTCATCCTTTTAAGCTGTGTTCATAGCTTTGATAATCTTTTACGTGTTCAAGCAGATATTTTTGAATAACAATCAGTACATGCGTCAGCGTGTGTATATGTATGTCGAGATATGAAGCACGCGGTACGTTTGGAGAGCACGAAGGAAGCGTGCGGGGGGTTCTCGGCTGCCCCTCAAGCGAATCTTGGGTGCCCCTGTCTTTTATTTAGTTATTTATTTTCCAAATACTTGCTCTCCATCTCTACGATGATTCTTAGCAACAGGTCAGCGGCCTTACTAATGGTAATAACTAATAATAAGAATTAAAATAACAATAATCAAAACAGGTCCAGCTGGGCTAGGAAAGAGTTTATGGATTGTGCCTTAACGACATTCAGGGGTAGGCTGTTCCAGTCCCTGATGGTGTTGGGGAAAAATGAGTATAATTGAAAAATGAGTATAATTGATTGATTGAGTATAATTGATTGTTTGTTTCAGACGCCGCGACTGTTTTATGTTGTTCCAGGTTTCTTTAAACTCTTGAGGGCTATACAAACTTTCCAAGTGCTTCATGCTTCAGTATCTTATAGGCAGAGCTGAGGCACGAATCAATTGCTATGTTGGACGAAGAAGAACGTATAACATTCTTGCCGTTCCTTCGCTTGGGTTTTGAACGGTGGGAATCATCGCGGCTCGAGTTCGGGATTTAGACGCCATCTTAGACTGGCATAAATTGGCTTCGGTCGCAATTTTGTGCCACCACGCTTATTTCGACGTGTTGAAAGTTTTGATTGAGCTGGTTGATTTAGTTCGCGCAACTTTGTCCTTAGGCCTTAGTACTTCTCTGTATACGACTATTGACTCCAAGCAAGGTTAATTGTTTTTGTGTCGTTCCAGGTTTCTTTGTGGAATGTATTTTTTCCGAAAGCAATCAACCCCTTACATATAGTTTCAGTGGTTCGAAGTTTATTTTTTTAAGTAACATACTAGTAAATCAAAAGGGACATCGCGTTTTGGCCTTGTTAAATCTCTATATCAGTGAGGTGCTCCCAAGGCGAGAGGTGATTGTAAATAATATAATTTTATTTTGTAATCACAAACAGCTTCCGTAAGTATCTTTCGGATTTTGGTGATCCTTTCCCGTACCTGTTTGGACTTTTCTGTATTCCCTTTCTGCCAACTATTGCCTCTACCTTACTGGTACTTAGTTTCCCGGCTCTTTAATTTTGCGTTTTTCGCGATTGTAAAAAAATCGCGAAATTGAAGACTCGCGGTAATTCTACCGACATTTAAACACGTCAAATTTAAAAGAAAATTCAATTATCACAGAAAAAATGATCAATATGTAATAACAACAACGTATACAGCATATCTGTCAACAAATACACAAATTCAAAACACTGGTTTTACTTGTAAGTTCCATTTTTTATTTTTGTTGTGAATAACGTTAATTTGCAAAGATTTCTCATACGGATTAGAGAAAATGAATTTTGAGAATCTTTAAATATGTGTTTTGCTTGTTCCAGTTTATCTAGAAATTTTCAAAAGTTCATGGCTATTTGAAAAATAAAATGAAATTGAGAGCGCTTGAATCGCGAAATTTAATGTCCTTTTTTCCATTTGCCTGCTGTAGTGAAATCGCGAAACTAAATACCAATAAGGTGCTTTTTAGGAGAAAGAGCATGTTTAGCGTCTTATCAAAATCTTGAGTTGGGCAAGAGGGGCATCCATTTCTGAGTTTGGTCAAGTATTGCGTAAATTGTTACTTTATTTTCCAGAATTACTGAACTATTTAGATCCAAAAATTGATCCTTGTGAAGACTTTTATAAGTACGCTTGCGGTGGATGGATAAAGAGAAACCCACTTCCTACTAAAAAGACAGTGTGGAATCAGTTCACTAAGCTGGAGGAAGAAACAAGCAAGTTTATAAATAATATTCTGCAAAATAAAGAGATTCAAGCCGAGTATTCCAAGGTATAACAGCTCTAAGCTGCATAACCAAGCTTTAAGATTAAGGTTAATTTAAGGTTATTCTTAGAGGCCGCGGCTCTAGCCTTTGTACGCTTGAAGTTTATATCAACCACCCGCGACGAAAACTCGTAGATTTCCCATAGAATTCTCATTAATTTGTGGTGTTACTAAAAGCTGCGTACTCCACACTAATGGTGTTGTTCCTTGGCCTTTGCTTCGCCCTCCCTTCCTCAATAAAATTTAGTCTGTTTCGTGTCAGACTTGCGATATTAAGGCTACCAAATGAATGTCTTGGAACATGACTTGATGGCAGATTCTACAGCTTTCTACCATATTTTAAATCTGGAGCATTTAAATTAGTTTTGTCTAATTTATGTTTAGTCATGAATCAGACCATGTAGTAACTGGTTTCTCTGTGTTTTCTATAGATTTCATCCTTTCGAAAGGGAATAGCATACCATGTATCCTGTTTAGATACTGAAACAATCAACGAAAGGGGTACAAAGCCATTAGAAGATCTTATAAAGGAGTATGGATCTTGGACAATAACCTCGAACAACTGGGATGGAAAATCATGGAGTATGGTCAATTACCTTGCCAAGATGAGAAGGAAACTTGCCCTAGGACCATTTTTCACTGTGTTTATTGGCGCCGATCAACGTAACAGCATTCAAAATACTATCCAGGTAAGTGATTATCATAAAACAAAAAGAGAACTCAACCCCTTTCGCTGCAAACGCCTGCCACGCAAACTGGTTTATATGGTAATCGGAGTCGAGAAAAAAACGTTTCTACTGTGATCTCGATAACAATTTTTTTTCGTCTCTTGTTATACCGCTTGGAGTAATATTTACTTTTACTTTCGTAAACGCCAAGAGAGAGTTAAACCATTTTTGTTCTTTTAATTTAGTTGTTAATTATAGCACATTATTTTTTTCTCAGCTTGCGAGCGGGTGGAATCCTCGAAATCCTGCAATCTGATTGGTTCCAAGAGCGGGCAATTTTTTACGATCTTGCCCTCTAACCAGGGCGGAATCGTTGGCAGCTTCATTCACAAGTTTGTTTGTTGTTGTGAATGAGCAAAACCGGTGATCCAGAACCATTTTTCTTTTAAAACTTGCGCTATTAAAATTATTAGCGTTAGCTAGGGATAAGAGAATTTTGTTATTCAGACAAAACATCTGAAGGGAGAATCAAGCAAGTCAGCCAGGAAAACCGCTAAAGTAAAGCACAACAGGCGGCTCGCGATGTCGCTTCACTAGTTTTATAACCTACGCTGTAAGTACTGCAATCTTGCTCTCATGCACCGTTAATTCGATATTTTTCCTCTCTTGGTAGGTTTGTTTTCCATTTTTGCTGTCTGAATCTAGATTCTGCCGTTTTTCATTGAATTTTGCCTCGCTAGTTTTCTACTTTTCAGAAAAGGTTGTTGTCAACGATTGCATGTAGCTTTCAATCGTGAATAAACAACACGAACAACTTTTCCAACACACATAGGTTGAAGGCTGAAGTAAAATTTTCCTAAAACTTTTAAATCTTAGTAGGAAAAAAATAAAAATGTTATACTACGGCCTCGTCTCCTGCGGTACTCAAGACCTCGGGCACAGTTTCTCCCAATACGGACCTCCCAGCCGGTGAATAACATATATTTCGTTATTGTAGCTCCGACCGATAGCATATCTGGGAATCTCACGTCGTCGATTAACATCCAATGACACTCATGGAAGAGAGGTAAGGGAAACTTGATTTTCATTTTTAAATACGTTTCATTAAGGTTCAAACTTAATTCTTCTTACTTGGGTGACCCGAAACGAAAACATTATCCGAAATATGAAAGCAAATTTCCTTACTTCATGTCATAGTATGTGGTAAAGGCCTTAATGTTTTGTTAGAACTCGATATTGCCTTGCAGTTCAGGCTATTTTGACAATGCTCAGAACATTGCTATGTAAGCCGACACAAGTTAAGTCAGGCGTTTTCTATGTGAGCATATGCTTTTCAGTGGAGCAAGCTATTAAATGAGCTACGAAAGTTACCCTGTTTCTCCCCTCCATTTTCACAACATGGCGTTAGAGGTGGGATTTCACGAAGACTTGTGATTCCAAGAATTCAAAAGACTCCATTGAAGCCAAAATACTTCAAACTTCGAGCAGAATTTGCAAATTTAAACGATTAAATACTTCAACATGGCGGACAAATTTAAACCCCCTTCGATGGACTGGACTGGTGTGGGAGATGTTCACAAACGATTTTAACTTTCCAAACGAAAGTGCGAACTTACTTTCTCTAGGCCATTTGATAAGGTCGAGGAAACAGAGAAAGTCCACCTACTGCTGCTGTGGTAGGCGAGAAAGGCTTAGCAATTTACAACACCACAGCATGGGGTGTCGAGGGCGATTAACTCAAACTCACAACCCTTCTAACGTCACAAGAGGCTTAAACTAAACCTCAAAGCAACCAAATTCTCGCAAGGTATCAACTCAGATGTCTCAAGAAGGGAGACATGCCTGTCGAAGAATTCGTAAGCGTGATTGCTAATCGATGATGGCGGACACGAAACGACTGTCAGAGAAAGTACTTTAAGGGACGTCCTCGTGTTCGGCCTCAAATCAAACAATTTACGCAGAGATGCAATCGCTCTAGGGAATACTCTGACCTTTAAGCAAGTTTGCGACCTCGCAAAGGCTAAAGAAAGTGCCAAGGCCCTAATGAAGATTATGACGCAAGGTGAATACAAATTAGCGAGTCTTCATGTAGTGTATGACCGGCACCAATCAACCGAGTCAAAACAAAAGCTACCTACAAAGAAATCACGCCGATTGCAATTCAAGTCTAAGGGCTGCTTCACATGCGGAAATACTTACGATAAATCTACCATTTGTCCTCCAAAAATTCAAAACGCAAGCACTGTGGCAAGATTGGGCACTATGCGAAAGTGTGTATGAGGAAAAGGTTACAAAAACTGCACGAGATAGTAGATAGCCCAGAATATGAAGGTCAAGCCATCCACCTGAAAGACGGCAGCTACTCTGACGCCCGTATGGCACCCTTTTCTATGAGGATGACGGCACGGGTAACGAGCAACCAATTACCGTTTTTCTGGGAACACTCATTTCTTCAGAGTGTCCCTTCCCCCTAAGGTACATTGCATATATACTGCGAGCGTCTACAAAGACAGAATCTATGCCACAGTCAATGTCAACAAACTTTATGTCAAGACGCTGAAGATAGACACAAGGGCTGATGCCTGCGTAATTACCACAGAAGACCTTCAAGATATACCATTCCCTATCAAGATCCTACCTTGTAACAACGTCCTCAGAAGGTATGGGGGTGCTAAGACGGAAAACATTGGATCAACGTTTCACCAGGAAGTCCATCTATGCTGGGACGCAGTCCGTCTCAGGAACTAGGAATCATTACAGCCAATGTTGACGAGTTAACAGCCTTGCACCACGTCTAGCCTCCACGAAATATTTCTCTTAGTGCTGAAATACTCGCACAAGAGGGCAAGTTATCAAAATCAAGTATTCTAGCCTAGTACCAAGACTGTTTTGACAAACTGGGCTAGTTCCAAAGGGAGAAGTACCACATTAAGCTGATTGACAATCCCGTTCCAGTCGTCAACCCCCACCCGTGTACGGCCCCAGTCCATATACTTCCCTTGTACAAAGCTGAAGCTCATGATGTCATCATAGAAGTCCAAGAACCCACCGACAGGGTCAATTCTATCGAGTACAACTCAAAGCAACCCTTGACGGAGAGAAGAAAGTAAGGCTGTGTCCCCACCAGAAGGATCTTAACAAGAACATACGTCGAGAGCACTGTTATTCTAGGACCATCGGGGAACTTCTACCTCTGTTCCATGGGAAGAAGTATTTATCCATTGTCTACACAAAGAAAGGGTACTGACACGTGGAATTAGATTACTCATCCAGGCCACTGTGCACCTTTAATACCCCTTTCGGGAGGTACCGATTCAAGAGATTACCCTTCGGAGCCGTCGTTTCTCAGAATGTACTTCCAACGCAAACTCGATGAAGTATACAGAGGCATCCCAAACGTAACAGGAATAGCTGACGATATCCTAATCTGCAGTTCCACTGAACAAGAACATGACCTGGCATTCATCAAGATGCTCCAAGCTAGATGTGCCTCCATTCCGAGAAACGGCAATTCAAGTAACCATAAGTAGATTTCTACGGCCACATCCTAACACCCCAAGGAATTCAACCTGCTGTGGAAAAGCTTGATGCTGTACTCAATATAAAGCCTCCCTCCAACGCAAAGGAGCTTCAAGCCATCTTAGGGTTGGTGACCTACTTCCATTTATACTCGATGAAGTTAGCTGAGATGACCACACCCATGCGGGAACTAACGAAAAAGAATACACATTTCATGTGGGAACCACACCGCCAGAGAGCATGGGACAAAATAAAGGAGGAACTTTGCACGTGCAATTTCATCTCTTACTATGACCCAGACCCAACGACAACCACAATCTTACAGTGTGATGCAAGCCAATCAGGTGTAGGAACCTGGCTTAGACAGGTAGATTCAGAAGGTAAAGAAAACATTGTTGCCATGGCATCCCGGACGCTCATTAATGCCAAGTCCAGATATTCTAACACCGAGCGAAAGTGTTTGGGGATCATGTACAGCCTTGAGAAGTTCGAGTACTACCTACTGGGTAGACAAGTGATCGTGGGAACTAACGCACTACCACTAGAACAATATTAAAAAAGAACATAACAGAAGCGCAAGCCAGATTGCAAAGGCTGCTACTAAGATGCCTCCGATTTGATGTCCAGGTCCAGTACATGCAAGGGGAATCCATCCCAGTTGTAGATACTTTATCACGTTTGTGCTTCAAAGAAGGCGTACACTCAATTGAGAATTCAGAGTATGGTACCTCATTGTTAGAAGGCCGTATCCACTTTATCAGCAGCCTCATAGATTTGGCAAGAGTGAAATCCTCCACTGAGCAAGATCCCATGGTGAACCTACTCAAGGAAGTCGTCTACAATGGCTGGCCACCATAGTCCTGCCAAAGGACATGCGGGATGAAGTCTTACAGACCATCCACTCAGGCCACGAGGGCGAACCCAAGTACATCCTCCTGGCTAGGCAGTATGCATTCTGGCCAGGTATCTCCAGTGACAACAGACAAATGGTGAAAGACTGTCACTTATGCAGCAAACAATCACCAGCTCAGCCAGTGCTGCCAATCATTCAACCTAATCTTCCCAGTCGACCACGGGAAAAATTACGAACAGACATCTTTGACTTCAACGGAAAGAAGCACCTCACGATGGTCTACTATTATTCCAGATACCCTGTGATCAGACTCGATCGAACCCGACTTAACAGCCACTGTGCTAGCTCAGTATGGCCGACCTACCTCAATCACCACTGACTTCGGCCCACAGTACGTTAGTGAAAGTCAAAATCAAGTGTAAACAGAGTGGTATCACACTAACTTTCAGCTCTCCATATCACCATCAAGCAAACAGTCTCGCTGAGCGAGAAATTGGAAACTGTAAATCCTCCCTAACAAAGGCAATGGAGAGCGAAGAGTGCTCATTCACAGCATTATGGATGTTCCGCACAACTCCACTTGACAGGCAGCTTCCTTCACCTTATGAATTGCTATTTGGGAGGAAACCCTCAAGATGACACCCACCAAGAAGAAAATCTACAGCGTCAAGTAAAGCAAGCAGAATTCTACAATCGCGTGGATACGTGACAAAAGGATCCTAAACAACAAGGAACCCATCCTCGTGCGCAAAACGCTGAAGAGCACGAGGGAGCGAGCTGTGGTAATGAAAAGACCCCAACCGCCCCCCCCCCCCCGAGAACCTAGGACCTATTTGGTAGACATTGGTGGCAGAATCTACCAAAGAACACGAGAGCATCTATAGCCAAGAACCGAGGGAGTAACCAAACCAGTACCGGAAAAAAAGCTACCAACAGCCCTCTTGACTTCAGCCTGCGTCGCAGACGTAATTTAACCTCGGTTAGTAACGTCTGCGAAGCAGCACCGAGATACTTGTTCTGGGCTTCCAACGGACTCAACGAATCACCGAAAATGCGTTTCGAATTTCCTTTCATCCTGATTGGTAAATCGAGCATGTCTTTTTTAACTGGCCAATCATGCCGCGTACTCAAATCCTGGTACACAGGTGGGGATCCAGAACAAGGATTTCGGCGCTGTTTAGCAGACGGACTTAACCAGATGTTGGTTTCGCCTGTGGCGCAGGCTATCTTGAATTCCCCACCAACTAACGCAACGGATAAACCAGTCATTAGAACATACACCCAGAGCCAGTGCCACCACAGAAAGAGCGTACCAGCTTTACCCTCAGATGTACCAGCTCAACAACCAAGCGAACCCCCAGAGCCACCATCTCAGACTGTTTCTAGGGAGCGAAAGGCTCCATACCAACAAGGGAGCCACTCTACCAGGGCAGGACGTGTGACACAAGCCCCAATAAAACTCAAAAATTGAACCAAACCCTCCTGATAGGATATTTAGCTGACACTGCGAGACAATTTCCAGCATTTGTTGTTTGTTATTTTGCTTCCCCCTCACCTTTGTTGTACGTTAGGCCGACTCTGATTCTTTGGACGTTATTTAATTCAAAAAGGGGGTGTCACTGTATACAGTGCAGGCGTTTAATTTTTTTTTTGGAACTTGATACTGCGTTACAGTTCAGGCTATTTTGACATTGCTCAGAACATTGCCATATAAGGACATACAAGTTAAGTCAGGAGCTTTCTATGAGAGGACATGTTTTCCTATGGATTAAGCTATTAAATGAGTTACGAAAGTTACTCTGTTTCTTGCCTCCATTTTACAACAGTGGAAACTTCCTTTTCTCTTGGTGCAAATAACAAAAACAAAGACCTTCGTCTTCGATCTTTATTTCGAAAACGGCAAGAACCAAGTTTAGGGAAGTGTGTAAGTTTCCTTACCTTTAACACCCTCACAGGGATATTCAATGAATGCTCCCCCTGGTCAGGTTTAAAGGGTCTTCACGGGACTCCCGTCGTATGTCACCACTGGTCAAACATCTGTGTTCTGTTAGAAGTAAGATCACTAAGAAGTATGGTGAGGTGAACGCTGACCTACAAGCAAGGATCAAAGAGTTCAACCACAACAACTAAGTACCGGCTATAGGTAATGAAAACGGTAAACATGGAACTGGGACTAAGGGTTGGTGGAATACCGTTAACAAAATCACTAATATTGAGTCTAAGACACTAAACATCAGCTCTGTTATCGACCCTAAGGACATTAACCTGTTCTTTCAAAATATTCACACTGATACTCAGTACTCAGCCCCGGAGCTATCACCTATTCCGGAAGTAACTCGCACCCCTTCTCTTGATGTATGTACTGTTGAAAGGTTTATGACCCTGGTCGGAACGTACTGCTCCTGATCCGAATGAATTCCCTTGCTGGTTGTGGAGAGATTTTGCGCACCAACTTGCTCCAACAGTAACCAGGTTTTTAACTCTTTACTCACACAACAGTCAGTTCCACTTCCATAACACCAATTCCTAAAGAATCTCCACTGTCATCGTGCGCTCAGCTTCGACCGATATCCGTCACGAACATTATCATGAGATTGTTTTGAGGCTAGTTTGCAAACAAAAGGGTTTTTAATAAGCTTAAGTCTGTGATTGGTATGGATCAGTTTGCCCAAACGAACATTGCGATACCACAATGGCTCTTGTTACGTGTCAACATAATTGGCTCAGATGGCTGCATGGTGATGTAGACTTTGTTCGAGTTTTGTCATTTGAATTAAAGTAAAGCATTTGATACTGTTTCTCAAAAATAGAATCAGGTCTCAATATTAATCTTTATATCAACAACTTGATTATCAGCTTCCTTGGCAAACCACAAACAGAGCGTTGTTGTAGACTGAAAGATTACTGGTTATGTTGAAATTAACAGAGGGGTCCCGCAGGGTACGGTCCTGGGGCTTCTTTTATTCTCTCTGATGGTGAACGATATAAAGCTAGTTGATCTAAAAAACGGGATAGCAGGATATGCCGATAAAAATCGCTATTAATGTACTGTTAAAAGGAACTGTCCAGAGCTGGGCAGCCAACAGTAGGAAGTCTTTGAATTTGTCAAAGACGCGGGAAATACTATTGCATCGCACAACTTCTAAGCCTGCTCCTCCTCCGTTGCTCGGGATTAAGCGGAAAGATTGTTTAAAACTCTTGGGAATTACTTTCCACAATCCTTGTGTTTGGGATTTTCATATTGACTGCTTACTTTCCAGAGCTGCTAGTCCACTGTATATTCTTATTATATTATATTATTATATTCTTATTATAGAGTACGGAAGTATTATTATATCTACACTAAAGACCAGCTTATTGAACTCTTCGAATCTTTGATATTGTCATTATTTCTGTATGGATTAGAAGTCTGCTGCTTTGCCTCTCAAGGCAAATATTTAGATCGTATTAACACCTTCATTAGGTGTGCCTATCTCTCTGGCCATACAAATAAGAACTTTTTTATACCTGTTGAAGAATAGGGACCGTGATCTGTTCAAAAGAATCATTTGTGACACTGATTACTAATGGTGACACTGGTGACACTAGGGCCCTTAGAGATAGAGGCCATGGCGTCATACTCCCTAGAGTGAAAACTGAACGGTTTAAGCGGGAGTTTGTAAATAAATGTCCTTTTAGTTTTATTTCGTGATATCTTTTTTCTTCACTTAATTTTTGTAATTTTGTAATACATATATTCATAACTGACTGAAGGCCACAAGTATATATCGTCTGATCTTTCACTAGACTCCTACTGCTACTACTATTACTACTACTACTACTACTACTACTACATTCTGTCAATGAAAAAGCTATGAGAGTCTAATTCGGGTCTTAAGTTATTCCGTGGATCAGGCTGCCTATTACTGTTAGCACTCCGTTTACGTTTGATTTTCTAAAGTTGTAAGGAACAATGGTGATGGTAACTTAGAAGGTTTTTTTTTTGCCAGGGTCGAGAAGTTTATAAGCAGTTTATGTTAAACCTCACAAGAGCTTTGGGAGCAAACAACGACTCATACAATGACATCATGGATGTTATCAACTTTGAAATCAAACTTGCCCAGGTTTGTACAATCTCCGAATGTAATAGTTTCCATGCCCCTGTCTTTTGAAGATGAAGAAAGGGAAGAATTTATGATGATTGCGGACAGCGTGTACTATTTTGCAATAAATGCATTTGGGAGCTCTCCCAACTCAGCACGAAAAGTAGTTTTGGTGATAACCAAGAACGATTCTATCTTCTTTACTCTATTCTATACGCGGACAAAAATTATCGACGTCTGGTTTCGCAGTATTCCCTCGTTAACAAAACCAAATCGGAGGACAAACACTCAAAAAAAATGTACGAGTAATCAAATAGAATTTTGAAATAAGAATTTCGAAATGACCTGTGACGTATACTAAGATCGTTTTAACTCAAGAAACACATGAAACCACACTGAAGTTTTTTACTGTAATCACAGCGATAAAACATTCTTTTGTAAATGTAATTTTACGCTCCGAACCCTGCAAAATACTCAATACTAGTCTGCCTTCTTTCATCCTCAATATATTTAAGGTGACTCGCTGGGCAAATCTAGTGAAATTCCTCTTTCAAATTCTGCCAGCGCTAGCTGGTTATGAAGAATAAGTCGAGTGATTAAAATCAGTTAAAGACCGTAAAATATTTTAAATAAATAATGAAATACTTAAGGTGTTTAATGTCTTTTAATGTGTTCCACACAGGGTCGCAAAAAATGCGCGATTTAAATTACACCGCAACTCTTAACCGAGCTATTATTCTGTACATCGCTAGCACAACGCCAAATGATCTTCAGCTGGGAGCTGGAGTTAACTGTAAAATGTTAATGCCTGTATTATGATGCAGAGTATTTCCTTGATAGAGTTATTGACCTCTCTGTATAGGCGATGCCAACAGGTCAGCAAGCGTATGACGATGAATATTTGTACACAAAATTGACTGTTAAGGAACTGAATGATCTTACCGGAACTGCAAAGGTAAGCCTTCATTTGTATGAGTCACTGTAATTTTACTTGTCTTGTGTTCTGTCGTGACTTCTTCGTAATTTATAATAACCGTCAGGAAAAACACAAGAATAGCAACATCAACTTGCAGTCACGTGAGTTATAGTTCTCAAAGGGACAAGACATAGGAGACTTCAAAGAACGTTAATGATAGTAAATTACGTTAACCCATTAGTCATTGGCGATAGTTAGGGCGCTTAAAACTTACGCAAACGATGACAAACTACTTGTTTAAAATGGCCGTGCAGACGCGTTGAGCGCTTAAATTTGTGGGAGAACTACTCGCTACAAAGTATTGCTGTTATGTCGCACCATTTTGTCATTTGACTTGTTCTTTTTACATGCCTGCGCATGCCATGTGCGAAATCTTGGATGTACTGAACCGGCATGCTTGATGATTGAAATAGTTTGTCAAATTGTAAAGCAAGTCTTTCTTCTGGTTATAAAAAGATGCTGTTTAGAGGAAATGGCCTTGTTATAAATGTTACATACATTAGCAGTTTGTCACTTTAGGAAAGATCCATCAGTCGGCCATTCGAGGGGCACCAAAGGTGTAAATAGCACTCCACGTGCAGTTTCGAATTCGTCTTTATTACGTTACGATTCAAATATAGGACAACTCCAAATGCAACGACTGATTTAAAACTCTTATATAGAAGGGTTTGGTTCCGTGAACTGCATACCTTGTACAGGAACATGAGTAGCACACAAGCAAGCTCTCTTGGAGGCTAAAACATGAGCAAAGGTAGGACCTGGATTCGGTGAAACGTCCATGCATTGTGTAAGATCTCTCGGTGGTAGAAATAGGTATTCAAAACCATTTTTGTACCACACTGTTATCGGCGTGTTAGGTGAGGCGTGATCCTTCAAAACTTTAGTCAATCGTACGCGTTGAACTTCCGAGCTCCAAGTTTCGCTACTTTGACTCCGAACACGGTTAGTCGTTTTAAAAGACGGACTTGAACTCCATATAACCAAAATTATTAGAAAAAATGGTGGAAATCGATCGCTCATGGAAGACGCGGTACGCGTGGCAGCCATGACTTAAAATTTTAGATTTGGCGCCAATGTTGGCGTGTGATTGTGGAAGGAGGAGATGGTGGAAGCAGTCACCCTAGGCAGCAGAAAAACTAGTAAAGTAGTTGTTAACACAAGAGTTATAAAAACATAAAGAGGAGTCAGAATTAAGATATGGTTTGATACGACGGCGGAGAGAAAGTCTGCTGCCGATAATAGAGCAGATTGTATCAATATGTTGCTCCCAAGACATGCCGCGGTCTAACTTTACGCCAAGAATTTTGTCATAGTTCACTTGTTCGATTCAATAGATCGACCATCAATTTGGACATTGAGTGTAAAGTGGTAAAGGTATTGCGTTTTTGTAGAGTCGTAATTAGTTGATATTTGGTTTGAGATATGCCTTGAAAAGCATCCAATGGCGAAAATTGTCAACAATATATTAAAAAAGATGGCAAAGGGTTCCTTTTGAAAAAATTATAAGGACAAGGCTAGTGTAACTTAGGTGTCATTAATTTAGTATAATGCTATTACCTTTGACTGATGATCTCTTGTGATTGAAATTCGTCTCAAACAAGAGTGTTTGGTCGGAAATTACCACCTATAAATAATTTCTGGCACAATTCAAATTGAATGATTCACGAGTTGTATTCGATTATTGGGCTCGTGATGTCACTTCACTAGCTTTATAATCGCGCCGTAGGTACTACAGTGTTAGTGCTGGAAAGGTTGGGTTTGCAGAGTATTTCATGAAATGAGATATGCTATATTACGGATGTGATGAATGAGACAACATGCACAATTTCTCTTTTCAATTTTTGATTGAAGTCATTTTACTTTGTCCAGTCATGATGGATTATGGTGCATAATCGATGAAGATTTCTGCCTTTAGACAATTTAATGGAGCACATATTCTACTGAGAATTGTGAAAGTTTCTTTCGGCGGAAAAGGCATGAATTGTCCAAATTTCTGGCCCCACCTCCTCCACAGCCATAATGGGACACATGTTTTTTTGAGAACGAGACATACATGTACAGTATATTTTTCATATATTTGGTTCATGAAAGCATACAGAATTAGTTTCAATGGGGTATGTTTTAAGAACCACACAAACATGGCATAATATTTTGATCCAATGTTTATGTTTAATAAATGCGGTGAAGTATTGGGCACTAGTGACATTTCGTTTAGTTTCACATAAGGTAAAATGAGCGAATTCACGCGTTTCAAAATGGTGCACACAAGCTGATAGACATTTGGGCTTTCGTTACTTCATCATCCATGATTAGTTTTAGGCGACCGTTACTCTTAAGAGGAGAACAAAGAGAATGAAGGGCACATACTGGTCTTTTCCGAAAGCACCTTTTAGCTAGGAACAATGAATTTCGAAGTCGGTTTTGATTCAAGATGGCCTGAACCTATTTATGTGCGCGTTGGTTACGTTTTAAAATCGCCTTTTTCGGCAGGAAAGACTTCACCGATTTCTGTGATTTTTGGTATCCTCAATAAAGAATGGTCGAACTTTAAGAAACTGTTATTTATTTTCTTGTAGGTAAAAAAAACGTTTGACATATCAGCATACTGGTGTGTTTAAAACAACATTTTTACAAAAAATGTCGATAACTTTGAAACCCTAAGACAGATTTTTCTCTAACTTCAGCAAACAAGCGTCAGAGCTCTCTAGTTTTATATCTGCAAGTTTGAAGCCAATCGTGACCGTAGAACTCGCTGCACAAATAGCTTGTCAAATTTAACCTTAAAATGCAACGCTAACACATTTGTGAAAGTTGACACGCAAATGGGGAAAACTGCCGACGGACTATCTCCTATCTACAATGGTATTCTTGCCCATGGTAAGGAATCACTTTAAGGACTTGTTGGTTGTCTTCTTGAGTAATTAGTGGACTAGCTGTGGCGCGTACGATTGCTTTGGTTGGCTTGAACGACCAAATATTTCTCCTTTTTGTAAGACTTTGAAAGAAATAAACCATACGATAGGAAATGGTGCTAGTGTGGTATTTCAGCGCATCACATTACTTTTGGTAAGTCAAGCGACATCGAAAGTAATAATAAGAAACTGTTTACTTAACCTCTGAAGTACATGGCACAAATACATAAGCTTAACCGAAACGACTTCCATTCATTGTTGCCTGATATATTTGATTCAGTTGTATTTGATAAATATTGTTTCACAGTTAAAGGGGTCTCTTATAATTAGTTATCTAATTTTGAACATTTTTTCGAGAAATGTTGCCTCACAATTATAGGGATCTCTTTAGTTATCAAATTTGAAGGGGCCACTTTTGGCTTCCAATTTGAATATTTGCCACATTCTGGATATTGCCAGCCCTCTGGCGATTTTTCGCTGTTTGCGCCAAATTTGCAATTTTTACAAAATTTTGCCATTTTCGCCGAAATCGCCAATTTCGCGAAAATCGCCACTCGCCAAGGGGCCTGGTGACTTTTTGCCATTTTTTGCCAAATTAGTCTTTTTAGCCAAAATCGCCAAAGCGCCCCTTTTCAAGGGGCCACTTTTGCCATCTAATTTGAATCGCCAGCCCTCTGCCGATTTTTCACCATTCTCGACATCCAAATTTGTCATTTTTGCCAAAATCGCCACTCTCCAAGGGGCCACTTTTGACATCCAATTTGAATCGCCAGCCTTCTGGCGATTTTTCGCCATTTTCGCTATTGCATGTATTTCTGGACATAAGTGTTTGGTTTTGGTCGTGATGAGAGACATTCGGTTATTAACAGCCCAGGTGGCTACAGTCAACCTCGTTGACATGATTACTAACGAAAGTAAGAAACGATCCTCGAACAATAATAGTAGTATCGTCCGAGGTAGCTCTAATGGCAAGTCATTGATATGGATGATAAAAACAGTGGCCCTAGGACACTACCCTGTGGAACGATAGTCCTTCCAATTTGAAGGACTGTTTTCTAAAATCGCTTTTTTATGCAAATTGCTTCGCGCGGCAATCGCTGCTTGAATTTCACTATTAAACCATTCTAGAATGAATAGCCGCTTGACACGCCGCTTTTTTATAACGGCGCGTGCGGATTCAGAACGCTCCTGAATAAAGAATAAATATGACATAATGAATCATTAGGGTCACAATACATGTCCGTTGTACTCCAAGGTAAATATCTAAATCGGCCGAAAATGCATCAACAGATAAAATTCTTTTTTAAGCGAAAAAACATAGGTTTATGTCCTTGAGAATGTACTCTAATGGATCTAGATTTAAGAGCAAGAGACGTAAATAGCAAGATAATCGCTCAGGGTTAACCGTAGAGTTCCCTATTTGATAACATTATAACGAAAATATGATCTTAAAGTGTTCCAGAAACCGGTTTTGTAGACACAGTGATAAGACTTTTTGCACTAGTTAAGTCAATAAGGCGTTTTTGTGACGTAGAATTTGATAAAAGGTTAAAGTGTGCACTATAAGTGTCTGTAATTCGGAGAAGGACGTTATGTAGTCTCAGTTCCTCAGCAGTGTTGTATAGCGGGCACCTACCGTTTGGAAGATCTTTGGTCTAAGTGGCCCGGATGTCTGATGGCTTAGCAGATGGTTAAGTTGTGAAATAAGTCTTGCTCCTTTTTCGCGAGAAACATCAATACGCAACTTAGGTAAAGAGACAAAAATGAAGACAGAATGCATTGTTCCAAACATTCCTAAAGCTTTCCAAACTTTGAAGACGTTGTAGATACCTCGCCCTGCTCTTGATCCAGTATTTTAGATACAATTCCTCATTCATGTGTTCTGGATCAGCGTATATACGCACCTTTTGGCAGACCTAGCTCTTTAATGCTAACCTTGAGCCCATCAAACCAACAGAAAAGTTTGCAAAGCAATCGACTTCCACTATTTCCTCAAATAACGATATTTTTTAGCACATTGACCTCGACGTTTTGACTTTGTGAATAAACGATCTATTTGAATCCGTTTAGAAGTTTAAAAAAAAGCCAACTCCACGTAATTTCACATGTTTTTTCTGTTCTTATTAATTCTTTCAGATCAACTGGAAAGAATATCTTGAAAAGTTATTGTTTCCTGTAACCGGAATACACATCACCGACGAACAGGACGTTGTGGTTTACGGAGTTGATTACTTAAGAAACATCTCCTCCCTCCTTAAAGAAACTTCGAACAGGTAATCTTTGGTCTCTTTTCACAGACCTTCGACTCACCTTCCAGTGTTCAGTGTTGTGTCGTTGACCTTCCTCAGAATCTCTTAGCTACTTGAGTGTGAGAGAGGTTTTTAAAACCACAAATTTATTAGGAGAGCCTCAAGACGTCTATCGTTCTCATAGCCTGCTAGCAAGCTCTCCAAGGTCAATATCAGGGAAGGAGAGCTTGCAGTCACGTCTTAGGAACTTGGGTTCCTCCTCTAGAGCTTTCTGTGGTTCGCCGTTGACTGAGCTGTCAGATTTTGGTCAATCAGCGCGGAGCGGAAATGAGTGTCGTTTGTTAACAAAAAGAGAAAACACGTTGACGATAAATTTCCTACGGACAAACGAAGCCCTGAAAGCACGTCCGCTGAGAAATTAGAAAATCGTCAGGGTCACGGTTCTGTCGTCAGGTCGTTGTGGGTGTTAGATCAAGAGAAGAACATTGCAAAAGTGGCAAACGGCCACTAACGCCTGCTAGCGCGAACATTTAAAACAAGATATTTTGCATTGTTCCTCCGAAAGTGTTTTGAAACGAAGAAGTCCTGGACAACTAATTGCGTCTTTTGGACTACAAACTGAACAGGAATACACCGAGTTAAAGGAATTGTCGTTTGCATGAGATGACACACATTTTCCCTTCGCCAAATATAAACTATACCGCGAGCCGTGTTTTTTCCCCCACAGAGAACCTATAGCAACTGGCAAGTGCTTCAACTACGAAGTAATTTCAAAAGTGTAAAACCCTAGACTGTTCACAGTCCCCTATTTTTCCGTAAGATGGTCGCGATCGAGCGCTTTGCGTTACAGGCAGCCATCTTGGATGAGTGTCAAAACCACTTAGAGGGCGGGGAGCGTTTAGGGGCGGAAGAGAGAAAAATAGAGGGACTGTCATAAATATCACAGCAGCTCGTGTTCAGGGAGTGTGACAGGAATTTCATGCCTTTTGCCCTTCATTAATTAAGAAACTCCGCTGCCGATGAAAAGCAGGCCAGGCACATTTAGCATCCATTTCGCGTGTTTACAACATCTCCTTTCGAAACAGTGATTTTATACGGTTTCTGGGAGATTCCTCCGAATAAAATCGGCGAACATGCTCGCTTCAACACAGCCAGGCATTTCTGATATGAGTCGTCCTTTCGTTAATTCAATTCGTTTTAGCCCAGTCAATCTAGGCTCAAGATCGAACTAATTGCAGCAGAATTGTTTTCAATGCCATTTAAATATAGGTGGCCTATCTAGCAACATTCTAAAAATCCCCCAAAATCCGTTCGGTGGGACATGTCAAAATTAAGCGTTAAACGTTTTGAGCTTTTGACGCAGGGCACCACGTTAGTTGAAATTATACTTTCAAACAAAAAACGCACAAAATGTGTTTGTTATTTTCATGGAAAAGTGAAAGAAGAAAGATAACTGCTACCTAGTTTTCGGCGATAAAAACATTAAAAACGAAGAGTTTCTTTTTTTCAAACAATACAAATATTAAACATGGTTGGCTTTTGCACAGGAAGCCCATTCTCCACTCAAGGAACCCCAAAATAACAGGAACCTTACAGAGTAATAGAGTTGGCTGTTGGCTGTAAAACTACGACAAAATTAGTCGTAACGCTTTAAATCTGAAAAATGAAAGCCGTTACTTAATCATTCGCTTTTAAAATATATCCTTTTTAATCAGATTTCTGTTAGCCGCGAGGGTAAGAAAAATATATATACTCAAGCTGGATTTTTTAATAACGTTACAGCCAAAATAGAGCTCTCCCCTCAAACAGTCTTTTTCTTTCAAAAAAAATCTCCAGAGAAGTCGACATAAGAACTAGGAGTGCAGCCATTACTTTTTTTCTTCTCCTACTTTCTTTCTCCTTCGCTTTTTCTATTTTCCCTTTCCTCGTTCTTTTCTTGGAGGATTTTCGGGCTCATTTTGCCCTCGACTTTTGGTCTTTTTCTCAGTCAAAAGACGATTTTCGTTCGGTATGTTTTCAAATATCCAGCGAGATAATACTTTGGCTTTTACGGTTACCTATACATTAATTTTCGTTAACGTATTGACATCTTCAAATATGCAAGTTTCACTTTTTTGAAGCTTTTCGTTTTTTTCTTGTTATAAGTGAATCGGAGAGGAGGGAAGGATAGTTTTACTAATTCTTTACGGTGCACAACAATGCAGAGTTTTTGAGCAGGTTAAGCTCCGATGCCTATGAATTTGATACGAGAGAAATGCGTTTCGGTCATTTAAGGAAGAGTGTTGTTGCCTTCGCAAAAAAAATTATGAGGGTTAGCAGAACTTTCATCCGAATATATAGATTTAGCCAGGGCTAAAAGCGAGGCTCCCATTAATAAATTTATAGTTTGAACCAAACAATAAACTTGTATTCCACGATTCAGTTAACTTTAGAGCACATTCATGTGACTTTTGACAGCTGTTTTGAGGGAAAGGCTAAGTGATTTTAGAGAAAAATAATTTGCAAACAACCCAAGAGTGAACGATCTCTTACATCGAGTTGATAACCTCTGTATGCACACCTAAAAACTGGCAATCATTTTCGATCACATTTAAAAGTCATAATGGCTCTTGATCACCGTAGATTAATTAGGTCTGGAAAAAAAGTCAGGCCGAATTTTTTGCGTTCGACTTTACAAAATCTTGTCAACAAATCTGGGTGCATGTAAACCAACCTTTTATACCACTTATACATCAAATCTGAGGTGAAACAGTACTATGAGGCACTGTTTTTATCATACAGACCTCGGACAGAATGCGGTATTTCACAATTTTGCAATACAAACTGCATTCATTCAATATTCAGGAGATAGAAGCATACGTGGGCTTTTAGGTAAACCGTTAAAAAAAATTTCCAAAATCACCAATACGGCCAGCCGGTTTTCACTTTTGTAGTGCGAGATGTGATCGAGTGTTTGAATGAACAATAATAGAGTTACGCTCCAACATAATAAAGAATTTATTGTTTATTTTTTTTTATTTAATGGTTTTATCGATGTGTAATCTTCAAAAGCGTTTGACACGCGCGGCATTTGGAGTATTCACGCAAGCGATGTTCACTGAACGACTGAAAACAAACGGCACAGCGATTAAAATTACAAGAGAGACTACTAACAATCAACAAAAGAAATATAATTCTGTGAAACATATACAGAGACAACAATTTTCATTCACGAAGACAAGTATTAAAGTGTCTCGAAAAATCCTGAGTCTTCAAGCTTAGAGCTTAAGTTTATGTTTTAAGCCTGCTTCCTGGTGTTTGCTTTTTTTCAACGATGAACTCGAGGCAAGAAAATCGCTCAAAGCTCATCCTTTTACTGCCAGAATTATAACTAAATATTCTTTGGAACGTTTTCCTTCTATTTGCGGTGAGAAAATGTCTAAAGACTTTTTAAAGTTCTGTAAGGTTATATCAAACCTGATACTCTGTCAGATCATTGTCTCAAATCTTACAAAGGTGCATAAACTAAATAGCCGCATAAACTTCGCTCGACTTCATTAAATTAGATTTATTATTCATTCAACATATTTCCCCAATTCTGATTGGCTTAAAGCACACGCATAATTCACCATAACCAGTTACTGTTGACCAAATTTGGAAGAATTTTGTGTTTAACGAGGAAATGACGTCAAAATTACAACCTTCTACAGGTTAATGCGCCGTTAACCGAGAAGACCTGGGGACGAGATTGAGTTGTTTTCGTTGTAAAAACTAAAATGGCGGACACTTCACTCGTTTCAAGAGTAAGAACCACAGCTGGAACTAGGCGAAATAACTAAAAACATAGCAAAAACAGCAAGAAGCGAACTCGGAGGGCGACATCTGCTATTTGGAGAATATTTGCGGAGCTGAACAAACCTAAACGTAGACTATCGAAGATAAACTTAACATCGATGCAGTTAAGCTTGTTTTAGCTGTGTTTTAAAACTAGGAATTATTTTGAATGAATAATAAAACAATTATTGAATTCGGTTTTCGTATCATATGAAGAATTATGGAGATCTCAGAGGGTGTTATCCGCCTCGGCCTACGGCCTCGACGGATAACACCATCCTCGATCTCCATAATTCTTCATAAGATACTCAGCCTCATTCATTAATTGTTAAATAAAAACAAACATCAAATACAATAATTACACAGGCTTACCATTCGAGATGCAGCTCCTGAAAGGTATCAAGTAAAGCCAGTATATATTGCTTCAGACCTTTCAACCCTCTTACGCATCAAGCAAGGTGAAAAACGAAAATAATGCCATCCGAAATCGGATTTGCGACTTTGACAGGTGACGCATTTCTCAACCAAAAACCCAATAAACAAACTAGCCATGAACAACAGAAGACTCCTGATAGCAGCTGAATTTCATTTTGGACATCCAGTGGAAAAGACAGTTAAAAACATCACAAGTTGACACAAAACTCTGTCAGCTTCAGCTGTCAAAGTAAACAGAGTAAACAAGACTCAAGATGCTGCATAAATTTTCCGCATGAACTCACCTGTCAAATTTTAACCAGTCACAGCGCTAAACATTGGGCGTCGAGCGTGACCAACGCGTGACCATGGTGAGCAAATTTAAAAGCGACTATCTCCCCTGCCTGTAATAGCTGGCTGAATTTTCGCGTCCGAGGTCAGTTTGAAATCAAAATTTTAATTGTGCGGCGCATAAACACAACATATTTCATATCAATGAAAAAAAATTAAACTTGAGCCTGCGATCATTTGAAAACTAGTAACTTGTCAGCGGATAAGTTCAAAAAATACTTGACCTCGATGGATCGACACCTGAGCCAGCGATACGGTCAAGTGATACTCGTCAGCAGATACCCTGTTTTGACAGCTGTCAATTGATCACAACATTGATGTCTAATATGTGTGCATTATCAGTTTTCCTGTGTTCTCAAACTAGCTAGAAAGTATGACAGTATGAACATTGATCGCGATCTAGTAAAACAATTGGTCAGCGGACAGCTTCTAAATAAATCACGTCACCCCGATGAGTTGACACATGAGCCCGCGATATGGTCATGTAAAACTGGTCAGTGGCTATCCTGTTTGATAGCTGTCAATTCACCATATTGTGAGTGTCCAATGTAAAATATGTGGATTTACCATGACACGCCTGAGACACACCTCCCTTCCTTTTGATAGTCTCCCCTACCCTACCCGTACAATCTGTAGACGAGTACGTACGTACATACGCTCGGTCAATCACGTAACAACCAAACGAACAGAGTTTGACCATATTCTATGAGTATGGGGCTCTGTCCCACGCGTGCTTCGCGCACGTGGGAGCCCCGCTCTAAGAACTTTGGTCCCAGCAAACGTTTGTTTCAAGAAAACGAAATATTTTAATAGGTAAGCTTGTTTTTAAGGGAAAGATTTACTCTGGGTAGCCAAAACAATGCGTATGTAAAAATATCGTGTAAGAGTCTATGGAGTAATGGAAATTCCCCACCCACTGCATTAAAATATGCAGTAAGTTGAAGTGTTACACAACGCTCATCCGAAGAGAAACATTGGTGCCGAAAAAAGAGGTGAGCAATCAATAAAGGAAGTGATTAACCCTAACCAGTAAAGGCAGTTTACCCTAATCTGTAAAACGCGGTGCTTAACCGGCTAATCCAAAACGATAAGGAATACTACGTTGTGTAGACTTCATAAGGTGTCCAAGGGCCTTTCGACAGATGTTAAAAAGTGCTGACCGGTTTGAACGTAACTACCTCACAAAACTCGATTACAGAAAAAGGGAATAGGTTAAACCGTTTGTACTGATACAAAGCTATCGTCCGTTGCACACATTCAGTCGTACGTATCTTGCAGCATGGATGCAAATTTAGCAGCTGACTGAAGGTGAACGAAATATCACATCAAACTGTTCACCATCAGTCAGCTACTAAATTTGCATCCACGCTGCAGGATATAAAAAATTTCCAGCCTGTGACACTGCCAAAATACTTACTGCATTTCTGATATTGCGCAAAAAAAAAACAATTACCAACATTTTTAACATGTTAACACAGACTGACTAATAACTTCCCTTTTAAATGCCGTGATAGAAAAAAAATTAAAACTTGGAAAACAGAATGTAAAGACAGACGAGTGGCTGGGTAACCTGTGCAAAGCTCTCAAGACGAAACGCTGACCCTGGTGTTCCTCACACTTTTAGTCGGCGTTTTTTTAAAACAAAACTACCCAAAATACATTAGCGATGTTGTATCGAAAATTCTTGAGGAAAAAAAAAAACACAATTATCAGATTTTTTGTCTGAATTTGTGATCTTCCTGAAATTAGGTCTCCTGTGGTGAAAGTTGAAAATCTTTATTTCCGGTTTTTCTCATGTTTTACGAAACCGATTTTGGCGGCTTTTTAGTACGTTGTTAAATAGCCATCCTACAATTAAACGCCGTTGAAGAAAATTCTGTTGCAATTAGTTTGATGCTCATAGGCGTACGGGCGGGGGGGGGGGGCGAGGGGGGCTGCAGCCCCCCCAAATTTTGGGCAACTCAGATTTTTTGGGCAGCGAGAGAAAATTTGGGCAAAGTCAGTTTTTAAAGACGTCTCCATGTTTATTTAATTTAATTATTTTGAAGACCTGAATATTAACCTAAAGTCGGCGTAATAATCCAGTTACATTACAGTGGTTTCCTAGCATGTGATGAGTAATTTACATATTTGTAGTTTTTTTATTGTTGGGCACTCTACTGCTCTGCACTAGCTGGAATGGGCTATTTCCAGTCGTGAATTTCTTAAAATAAACTTTCGCATAACTTTCTAGAATCATCTCCACTCGAAGAACAGTGTATGGCAGATAGCATCAGCAATGGGTATGAAAATGAAGAAGTGGCTGACTACTGAATTCTCATTTTGAATTAGTATAGCGAGAAGAATCTTAATTCTTTTAAAAAATCTATCGAGCAGTTCCATGAAATTATTCGCTAATTTGTTAAAGTAGACCGAAATGTTTACAAAACTGCTAACAAGAGTGCCTTGATGACTAATCAAATCCTTCTTTCGATTCTAGCAATCAAGCAGAGCTATCTCCACGATCTTTCAAACATGTTTTTAAAAAGATTAAAACTACTATGAGGTGAAAATGCATGTCAAAAGCGCTTCGTTTTGTACAGATAACGGCCAAACAACAAGATTTTCCTTTTCTTACCGTATTTCTAATAATAAAAGCTTCATTCCAAAATATCTCGATAACGCTCTTAAGGTTTTGTTTAAACTTCACGAACATCAAGGCGACCGTATTGGAAAAAAATGCTCCTGTGAACGATTTTGTAAGGTTCCCCGTGCCGAGAGAATCATTGCTGAAGTAAAATAGGTAATGGGGTCATTTCGTTGCTATGACAGCTCCAATGTCATTGCAACCCTGATGGTGACAAATTTTCATCTTAATACAACGGACGTCGCAAGTTTTCAAATGTTTGTTTATGGCGACGTAGTTTATGCTCAGACTTGGTATTCAGACCCTGAAAAACTGAATCGAGCCAGCTTCATATGCCAGGACGGCCTATGTTGTTCCAATATGGCCCTCATTTCTTTTCGACTCTTTCGTAAAAATTTGGGCAACTTGCCGGTTTTTTTTGGGCAAATGGTTTACCGCCCCCCCTGGCAAAAAATTTCCCGTACGCCTATGTTGATGCTAAACCACAGTTTGACTGGACTATTTGGCAGAAACTGTGTTACAACATTCCCCTGGCCGGGCTGCTTCAAAAGCTTACGTGATTCATCCTCGAAATACCAAAAATCCTTTGTTTGTTTGCGGAAAATATGCCTTGCAAAATGGCATAGGCATTGGGTTTTGAATACCTGCGAGGAAAGTAGCGATAATACATTGTAGGCGTTTCAAACGGCCAAACTGTTTTAGACCGTTTTATGTCATCCCTCCTCCATAAAATGTCAATGGGAGTCTGCCCTACTTCACGCCGATCGGAAATAAATCCCTTCCCTAGTTTCTTTGGCCTAAAGTGGTGAAGATCCAAAATAACACAAAAGTTGGGCAAACAGGTATTATAAAAGCTTACGTTTTATGGAAACGACGACTTATCAGCGACTTGTCCCTGTCGGCAACTTAGATTAAATCCGTTGTCAACGCAAATTAATATCTATTGTTAATGACCAATCAAACGCCTGCGTTGCTGGTACAATGAGCTCCGTGAACGCGCGCTGCAGTGATGTTAGGTCAGTCCCTCTATTTTTCTCGCTTCCTCCCATACCGCCTCTCCCGCCCCCTAAGTAGTTTTGACACTCATCCTAGATGGCTACCCGTAACGCAAAGCGCTCAATCTCGACGATCTTACGGAAAAATCCCTGAAAGAGATCTTCTTGTTAAAGCAATACGTAAATGTTTTCAAAGATTTAATGCTCAGTATGAGATTTTTGGCCTGTCACCCGCAGCAGTTTCTCACAGTAATGACTTCATAACCAAATTTTATCTCCGCCAATCAGCATTTTGTATCGAATTTTTCAATGCAAATATTAAAATTCCTGAGACGTGACTGCAAGCTCTTCCTTTTTCGTCCAGCCGCTAGAGCGCCCAGAGAGCACGCTAGCAGGCTACAGTTCTCATTGAGCGTTCACTGGGAAGAGTCTTAAGTCTCTTTCTGCAGCTACATGCATCCATTCCTTTTGCCTTGCTGGAATCCAAAAGCTCTCACGATAGGCCAAATTTCCATCGCTTGCATTCATTTCGCAACGTAAACATTGGTGTTTAAAATCTGGTACTTTCTTGGGATCCTATTAAAGATGGAGTGTTTCAAAGGAGTAAGATGGTTGAATAGGTCATTCCCTCTATTAACACAGATTACCAGAGTTTTTGACTGGTTTATTCTAGGACCCTTGCCAACTACATGATGTGGAGGCTGGTTGATGCGTTGTATTTGCGACTGGGTGACAAATTTGAGGAGATATTTAAGAATTTTTACATCACTTTAGATAACTATTGGTCTTCGACTCCTCGAGAAGAGTTATGTGTTCAGCTCATGACAGAAAAATACTTTGAGACGCCACTATCTCGGATATACGTGGAGAAATTCTTTGATGGTGATAGCAAGAAATCGGTAAGGAAAGGCATTCATTTTACCACGTTCCACTTGTTCACTTTTTAACATTTTTAGAGCTTTTTTTTGCGACAGTGTCTTACCGTAAATTTCTGCACTAATATGCGTTAAAATACTCTTTGGGAGAAAAAACGTAACATGTGATAACTATCGTTGTCGGATAATTTGAATTCCTACAAATTGCACCAATTTAGGCAAGAAATTTGGCAAATGGCATAAGAGATGCGTTTGTGCAGAACATACACGAGCTTGACTGGATGGATGAAAAAACCAAGGCTGTCGCCATTAAAAAGGTAAAGTAATTCCTCTAGTCATTCAAATCTCATTACAGTTCAAAATAATTATGAATTCTGGCCAAAAGGATGGCGTAGTGCATATTATTTAACGTATACATCACCCGTGAATGTCTTACAATATCTTCCATAACATCATCAAGGGAGTTCTAGATAATTGTGCAAACAAGCTTTTATTGATGTAAGAAATAAAAAAGAGAGTTGATTTCAGTTTTCAACGATATGACAGCTATAGTCGATAGCAAAACGAGTACAGGGTGAGGTCTCATTTCTCTCATTGTACCTCGTCATTGTCTCATTGTACCTCGCAAGCAATAACGGAAGTGTGCCTTTCCTTTCAGGCAAAACGGATGGTTGAAAACATTGGTTACCCAGAGTACATTATGGATAACAAACTGTTAGATGATCAATACAAGGACGTAAGTTTCATAATCTATTCCAATTGCCACCACGATTTCGTCATTTGCCACAAAGGCAAAAAAGTGCCATTTTGAACGCAGCTGTCAGCATCTACTTGCTCGCTATTTCGGATGTACTGTCCCTATGTCCTTTTTTACTTTCCGCGTTAACAAAGTCGATTCGATTAAAATCATAAATCCTATTTAACGTGAAAAAGCCGTTGAAGGCTCTCGGACGCTTCCTAACCCTGTGCGCTTTTCGTGTTTGTCACATTTCAGCACGATATACCTGTTGACAACTCTTTGTGCCTGTACCCTCTCCTATACGTTAAGCTTGAGCGTCAGCTTCTCTGTGCATTAGTGCGCGATGGTTTACACTTTCAAAGGTACTATGTATTTCGTTTGTACTGACTACCTTAAAGTGGCTGTGGAGTGTCTTGGACTCCGTATCAAGACATATTTATAGATGGCTTTTTCTCATAAAAAAAACGTTGTTCCGATACGTTTACTGATTTATTGAATGACAACTCTCTTCCGAAACTGCCGGCTGGATCTGAAATGGTCGTGTTAGGAGATTTCAATATTGACTTTTTGGCCAAGAAAAACAATGCTTCATTTAAATTAAAGAGACAACTAGAGCAATTTGCAATTGCTAATGACCAGGACTAGTTAATCAACTCCCCGACCAGGATTTGTGAACAATGGACTGCATAAACTGAGTTCAACGAGCTGCCAAAGGTCTAATAGTGACTATTGACTCCAACTCTTTTTCCAAGATACGGACAGCCACCGCTGCCGAGAACATCAGGGCTACGGACGAAAGGTATTAAGCAAGCACTTGGACCTAAATAGAAAAGAGCCCTAGACGTTCCTCCATAGTGGATGGCTCGCTACCCATCTTGAAGGAACTCGGCATAGAACAATCTATGGAAATACTCGGCAAAGCTCTCTACGAAATTTTCTTAGGGAAAGCTCTTACAGGCCATGGCAATGTACCCAAAGTTTTAAAGTGCGCCAGGAGAACGCTCCTCGCGGAAATGCATGATATCCTCTGGAGGAGAGCTGGAGGAAAGTGTGAGGTGCCAGGAATCTGATATACATGTTGATCTCAATTCTTCTTTGACTTCCGCTAACAGTCTTAATGTTAATCCTCTTACTGTTCTTCTCTCCTCCATACTAAATAGCGGTTTTCATAGCCAAAGTTGGACATGTTTGGGTTAGTTGACCGTGGAAATAAAAACAACTTAAACTCAGTATGGGTAATGTTTGGGTATTACAGAAACTACTTGGTTCCCATCGGCAAGAAGCTAAAAACCAATGAAAAACTAAAACGCAGGATAACAAACCCAAACAGGATCTTCAACGGGACGCATGAACCAAGGGCAGCTCTAACATCACAAGACCACCTATGTAACACTAACATCTGACAGTGGCAAGGGAGGAATATTCTAAAAATGGCATTACCACCGTTTTCGTTGATACGCGACTTTCGGAAACAAAACACCCGCGGAAACGTTTCCAAAATTTCCGTCAATCATGCATGTTATCGACAGATCGGATCGAAATCCACCAATCACAACCACTAGTGTGACCTTCTGACCTCGATAACACGCATGATTGACGGACATTTTGAAAACGTTTCCGCGTGTGTTTTCTTTTCGAAAGTCGCGTATCAACGAAAACGGTGGTAAGCAAATTCGCGAGCTAAGCAAAAATTCAGGTACAAGTAGGATCAAGTGATCAAAACAGGAAAACACCTATGCGGACAAAATCAAGACTAACTTTGACTCATTTAAAGAAAGAAAACGAACCTTTTTTTTTTTTTTAATTTTTATTGTTTTTACAAACATAATGCTGACTTACTTACATAGTACTTTCTTAGTTACATAAAGCTTTAATACCTACTTACATATAACTTGCTAAATTAAATACTACTTACTCACATAATATAAACATACAAGATAATGCTTACAAAACAGAAGCCGATGAGTTGGAGTCTGTTACAAAATAATGAAAAAAGAATTCTAATACAACTAATTACTAACTTGCTATCTCTTAACGAAGAGTAAATAAGCTAAAAACGACAAAAAATAAATAAATAAATAACAAACAAACAAACAAAACAAAAAAGCCAAAAAACAAGGGAAATTAGCCAGAATCAAGAAAATTATTTTTACAGCTTGACTTGCACCTTAGCTTTGCTAGTTTCAATTTGTATTTTATATTTAAGGATAGACAAAAAAGCGTCGAAAAAATAATCTTCCTCATTTTTAGACGCGGTGTAAATATAGTGTTTTGCAATTATCAAGCAGAGGTTTAAACCAAGACAGTGAGGCACGGTGTCTGTAATGCCATAAAGTGTTTGTGCTTCAGAAAGCGAGATCTCAATGTTGTTTTTTTCGTGCCACCAAACTGAAAAATGTGTCCAAAACAGCTGAGTATTGGGGCAAGTCACAAATAGGTGTGTGATTGTTTGCTTATCAGCGCATAAATGACAGCGGTCATGTTCCTTAATTCCGAATTTATATAATGTAGCGTTGGTGGGTAAGATGTGGTGTAAGATCTTGAACTGAAACATTGAGAGTTGTATGTCTTTCGTAGCACTGAAAGGCATCTTGTAAATTTGAGAAATTTGCTGTTCATTTAAACTAGCTTTTCTGAGTCTCTTTTTGGCGGTGACAGGAACAAATTTCCTTTCAACAAAAAAGTTGGTAGCAAGTTTAGAAGAAAGCTTCTCAACGGGAATTCTATCCTTACTTATGGATTTATTCGAAGGCGGTTGTAATTTACCTTTCATTATTTTAATCCAGTTAGGAGGAATTGCTTTGCATAAGCCGTAGTAGGTAAGAAAATTAGTTTTAAGACCAAAATAAGAGCAGAAGTCTTGGTGAGATAGAAAGGTATTGCCGTTGAAGAGATCTCCAATTTTTTCAACACCCGCTACATGCCATGCTTTATAGTATACTGAATAATTGTTGATCCTAATAAAGCGGTTGTCTGTCTTTGCCAGACGAATTGCGTAATAGCTTTATTAACTTTTTGAATAAATGTGGGGGTGACAGTGAGGACAGCAGTGTTATAAATAAGTTTGGAGAGGGCTAATGCTTTTAAAATGACAATTCCACCATGTAAAGTTAAGTTCCTAGGGTACCACAAGTTTAGCAAGGAAGCCATCGAGGACAGTTTCTGTTCAAAGTTCCTTTTGAAAGCAGCTTCGTCATCATAAGAGAAGTGAATACCAAGTGCAAATACAGGATCTTTTGGCCATGCAATATCAAGAGGTTCTTCCGGGTTGTTTTTGTTCGCGCCTAGCCACAAGCCCTCTGTCTTGCTTCTGTTTACTTCAAGACCAGAGCATTTTTGAAAAGCGTGGAGCAGTTGGAAGAGGTTTTGGGCAGATGTTATATCAGAGACAAAAACAGTGGTATCATCTGCGTATTGTGAAATTTTGAATTCCTTTCCATATACGTTGATTCCTTGAATATTTGCATTAGACCTAATTGCATTAGCAAGAATTTCAGCGCACAGCACAAATAGGGAGCCGGAAAGAGGGCACCCTTGGCGAACACCTCTTTGTAGTTTAAAGAAGACAGAGGCGTAACCATTATTTACTACACAGCTAGAACAGTCAGTGTAAGAGGTTCGGATCCACTGTAGTAACTGAGGGCCGAAATTTAATTCCTCCAAGGTCTTAAAAAGGAAGTTCCAGTCGACGGTGTCAAAAGCTTTTTTAAAGTCCACAAAAATCGCCATGCCGGGAATGTTTTCTAGCTCAGTTATCTTCATGGAAACGAAACTTAACACAATAACGTCCAAAAGACTTCACAACAAAAGACTCAGTATCAAAAGATTTGAGAGATGCCTTTATTTGTTACTGACACACCCTTTATCACCATCTTCTAGTGTCGCCCTCAACTTATTGAGCAGATATGGCCTCTTTGAAGTTCTAACCTTTTTAGGATGCCGATCCATCCTACTCAGCGTCATCAGAGCTTTCTTGAAAATGTGAAACCATCCCCTTCCAACGAAGGTTTTGCAGCCAAGTGAAATGAGGGTGCGTAATGGCACACATTCTTTTCGGAATTTCTTCACCATCCCGCTAAAATATTCTAACGCAATTGGGACAGTAGGTATCTTCGCAATAGCTTAGACGGCAGCCTCTTCTGTGTATCAAGACCCAGAGCTAATGTCTAACGTCCAGAATCCTTTTGTTTATCAATAATACAGCGATTAACACTCGCACAGCGACAGACCTGCAGAATTTCCAAAATCGCATTGCATAGGAATCTCTAAAAATTACTTAGGAATCTCTAAAAATCGAAAATCGCGAGCTAGGGACCCAGAAACGCCACCTTCCATCCAGATAGCCAATTATTATTTTCGAAGCTGTTCGGAAGTTTGTCTCCTCATTTGCTAATATTCCCTTGAAACGGAGCTAATCGAACGCATTGTAAAGGCCCCAAGAGATTTTGTTACTTTTTAAAAAGAGCCTATTAACGGTAAGGTCTTGAAATATTAAGATCGTGGTCTTGTAAACCCTCTGTATGGCAAAGAAAGATTGCACTTCATGACCGCTAAATGGAGTTTTGATTTTTTTCAGGGCGAAAACCCTTTCTTCTACTGAGGTTGCAACCATGGCTTGATATAAACAGTTCTGGTCACTGTTCGTATTGCCACCGCCTCTACTTACCCGCTCTTCACGCGTTCTTTCTCATACAGGCCATGTGCAATGAGCATAGCCATTGTCCCAATGCACCTCACGGAGTCAGAGACTAGTTGTTGTTTTTTCTTATCTTATTACAGTGGAACCCCGATATAACGGTCCTCGATATAACGATGTTCCCGTTATAACGATGAATATTCTATGTCCCGGCAAAAGCTACAGTAAAATGTATGGGACAGAATCCCGATATAACGATCTTCGATATAACGATATTCTCGATATAACGGTGAGAATTTAGCGAACTGAACGTAAAATCTCTCCAACCATATTATCAGTAAACACAGTCACAATTTATCTAAAACAATTAATTTTATACAACAACACTACTGTAATCGAGTAATCTCTAATGTTTGTGTGAACTTACGTGGTCTTCTTGGCCTGTACATAACTCTGATAACAGAAAAATTGAAACAAAAACGACTTAAGAAGGACTGTTGCAAGTGTGTCATGCGCAATAATGCATTACTTGCTGGCCAGTGTCTGTTTTTTTCCAACTCGATAAATAACGACAAGCTGATTTAGCAACAGAACGGGAACGTCAGTTGACGACGGGAAAGTACGCGGAAAGGACTAAACGCGACTTGCGGTGCCCAATTTGCCGCTCTGCCAGTGGTCATGGATAATAGAAAGACTGGATAGGAAACTGGCTGACGTGATCGGTTCCAACATAGTGGAAAAATGTGACGTCACATTATCGAGAGCCATTCAACCTCTTACATCCGATGTTTTGCGCGTCTTTAATTAATCCTCGCATATTGCCCGGATTGCCCATGTTTTGATGTAAAGGATAAAGAGTACTTGTTCTTGGCAAAGACAGTTAGAGGGTACAAAATCGGTAGAGGCAAAAAACTGAGTAAATGATAATGAAACTTGTGAGAGCGAAGAATGACTCCAGCGCCGATAATTTTACGCACCAAACGAGAAGCCTAAGTACATAAAAACTATGCGAAAACTTACATGTATACAGCTACAAAACACTTATAAAAAAGGCACGGCCTAATTTTCTACAAGCCACAAGAAAACCGGGAAGAATTTTAATTATTTTTGTGACGGTTTTGACGATTTCTTTTCTGCTTTTATACAAGCTCAGCGATTGTCGAATTTTACAAGTTAACAACTGACTCTTGACAAAATGATTTTATTAGCGGTAAAACTGTCGAGGCTTGATGTTTCAAGTACCCAGCTCAAACGAGGGTTTAATTTTCCATTCAAATTTATTTACGGACAATCAGTGACAAGAAGCCGTAGTTGAGAACTGTATAAAACATGATAAAAAGCGGGGTTAAAAAGCTCAGCAGAGAAAGGAAATTTGCTTGCGGACCACCGTGGAAACGCTGTTTCTAACTTTCTCAAATCAATTTTCATAGTAAAGCGACAAGTTCTTTTGTTATTTTCAGGTATAAATGTACCATTACCCAAGGTGATTTTCAGTCAGGTCTTTGAAAAAGCGAACTGCAACGCTTTTAAAAGTGTTATGTAAAACGGTTAATAGTTAACCACTAGAATACAGCTGGGAAGCAAACTCATCATTAATAGTAGGCCCTTCACTTCTTTTTCATGAGGAACACTTGTCTTCCACTGATAAGGCTTATAAAGCTTAGAAATATATTTATTCCTTGAAATACTGACCTCTTTTTAGGATGAAACAACCTTTAAGTTTTTGTATTGTAGTCTTAATGATATAGAAATCACCTTTGAAAATTAAACATTAACACTGTTCCCAAAGAAAATAGAAGCTGATTTAATATTTAAAAAAAAATAAATAAAAAAAGTAACATCTAGGATTTTTGTTTAGCCTGAGGTAAGTGGATAAGGGCTGGAAAAAATATGTCTGTCTGGTCACATTATTATGTTGTTGAAAACAAAATTCATACCCCAAACAAGTACAGGTATATGTTTTATTACTTTGATTTAGAATACATCTTGGTAAGGTTTATCACCTACAGGTACATAGTTGCTTTGCATCTCTATAAGAACTGAGTACAATAATAGTGCTAATCACGTCCATCTTTGGTTTGAAAAACAATGTGATTCAGGTTTAGACCGCTTCATAGAAAAACACTAACCAAATACAAAACACATTACTCTGTAGCTAACACATGCAGTGACCCTCACACACAATTAATTTGTCCCAGTCAGAAAGGAGTTGCTAACGCTCTTCAGATGTGATGAATAAAGCTTAAAGCACCTTCTGATCAGAAATAAATTATATGCCGCCTTCTGGCTCTCATGCATGAAAAAAGTAACTTTTGTTGCTGTTTTATACAGAAAGATTGATTGATTTGTGCCCTCTCAGAAGAGTACTGTACTTGACTCTGCTTGACCACAATTTACTGTCTTCATTGACTAAATGTGTTAAGCAAATCCTACAAAAAAGACAAACACAAGGAAAACTAAAACACTGTTTACAAAATAACAACAACACTTAGGAGCCTAAACGGAGGCCGAAAAATGTCAGTAGGTGTAGTTTATGTACAAAAAATATATTCGAGTCTCTTCAGTGCCTTCGAATACAAGCTGCGAGGAGCGACTTGAGGCGATTGTATTCACTGGATATGTAATTTTAGAAGTCATATTTCAACATTAAAAGATAGCGAAACTAACATACAATTAGCAGGGTTAATCTAGGATATTACTTGAGCGAAGCAGTCCTCAACACAATCAAGTCTGCCGATTAGAACATTGTACACCCCCCGTGTGCGTACAGTTGTTCGGCAATAGCTCCGATTGTAGATAATTTAGGTCATTTTCAATCGAAATGTACGGCCGGAAAATAACAGCACCCAGTCTGTAACTATACCTATGCCACAATTCCATCCTTAAAACATCTGTCAATCGCAGTTATGAATAGAAACAAGAAGGAACCTTCTAAATATAGGCGTCCCAAAATAGTCGACAAGTCTAGTAAATATGGCTCTGTAAGGTCAATTTTTGAGACGAAATTTTCTCAAAGACAAGGACAAATAACACAAAACAACAACAAGAAGTGCTTACCTCGAACGTTCAAGTGTGGGTTTGATGGGTGGCCATCGCCGTAAGACAACAAACGAAGGGGAAAACATACACCAACAAGACGCTACGGAGCGTACACTTCGGCGTCGTTGTTGTGGAACTAATTAATTGTAAATGCGGAGGAATAGTAAGAAATCAAATATCGTAAGAGTAAGGTGTTAATTTGTGAAATTATGGGATTTGTCAGGATATTCTGAAAAGAGCAACATCCAAGAGGCCTACTTGCCAAAAACTAGCATTTCGGGACAAATTGTCTCCGAGATATTAGCCCAGTTATACTCTGATGACTCCATACAAATCCTTCTAAAAAAACAATTCTCTATTTTTCTTAGTCACATCAGGCTTCAAAAACAGCATAGCAGTCTCATGTACTGATTAAAGATATGTAAGGCATGGGTAAGGAGTCAATTACGTTGAGCACGGAATTGGCTAAAACTCAAAGTCACGAGTTCGAATGTTTTGAGGATAATTATTCACTGACTATCAGCACGCAGGGATGTCGGATTAACACAAGGAAGTTTAATACCAAAGGAACATAGCCTTTACAGAGCTTTAAAACACAGCATCCATCAACACAAACCTGACTTGAACTTTAAGTAAAACTAAACAGCCTCTACCAAAAATAACAAACTCTCACTTGAACTTCAGATATCTTACGGCTTCCGCGAACTTGTAAACACAATACCTAAAAATCGACCTTCGTCACACTTGACTAAACACAGCAGTCCAGCTGGTGGGAAAAAACTTAGTTCTTCAAAAGAACTCGCTTGGAACTTGTATACCGTTTGACATAAGGTTCTAGAAAATACTAAACAGCAGGCGAATAGTAGTAGCTTTTCGACATGCTGAAATGTAAACATGCCCTAATTAATTATTCATGGTAATCCAAAAACGTAGAGAACGTTCGAGAAAGTCACGCAACGCATGAAAGCAATTTTACTACGTAACACTCAACAAAGACAAAATATCTTTGTGCAGCATTTTGTAACTTTAAATTCATCATAAAACAGTTAGAAAGGAAGGCTCACTCGTAGAGAAATTTTGCGTCTCTGCGCGGCCATGAAATATCCTCTATTTATTCCTCGAGTAATTAAGCTTAAAGTGTGTGAGACTAAACTCTTGAATTTTGGAGCGGAAGAGGTCTTAAAGCGTCACGTCATGACAAAAAATTCCCTGGCTTCAGAGGTCTGTTCTCGAAATTCCTAACATGAAGAAAAAAATTGTGCTCACGGTTAGAAAAAGCTCCCCCTTTCACGAAAGAAGAAACCTGAACCTCTGCGCGCTCAGGGTACGACAAAAAAAGAAAACGGTGAAAAAAGGTCGGTATCGAGAAATTAAGTTGTAGACAGCCGTGTGCGCTAGAACTTTCAGGCTTAAAACAAATGAAGGTCATTGAACAGAAAATAAGATCGCTATATCATTCTACCGTATTCCTGTGGCTTGTAAGTGTATTCTTTCATATTTTTAGCTTCTTTTGAGTTTTGCCTTTGCCGCCATTTTGTTTGTTTTTCACCAGTCTCAAGACCTCCTACCCAGATCCTCTCACTCTTTATCTTGGCCGCCATTTTGAATAAATTTCCACTCTCCGTGGACAAATCAGTCACGTGATTTCTGCTGTGCCAGAAGTGATCTCAAGATATCACGAAGAAGTCCGGTCTCATTTCTTGAAATAGTTGAAACAAGCCGAAAAGTCACGAACTTGCACGCCCAATCTTGTCCCGAAACTAGTACATCATTTCATAACAGTAGCGCAATCGGCTAATCCCTCAACTTAGAATCTCCTCTGATCTGACGGGTCACACAGGTGAGTCGGTTCAAACCCCGGGAAAGCCAAAATATTAATTCTTTCTTCCTCGAAAAAGTTAAAGAATAAATTAAAAAATCGAAGGGATCTCGAGATATCTCGAATTAATTCGGCTCTCACTTCGTCAAAAAGCCGAATAAAACCGAAAACCTACAGACTTTGCATGCCCAATCTTGTCAAAAAATTTTAACTTTGATACATTCCTGAGCGTCGCGAAACCTTTACTTCGCGCTCCGCCGAAGTAAAAATTAAAGTAGCACTAAAAACTCCGAAAAAGAACAACATGCAGGCAAACAAGCCCTACATTTCGACTGGTTTGCGCCACATTTTCGTCATCTTTCGTCACAATTTTCCACTATGATGGAACCAGTCAACGCCATCTTGAAGCACGAACCAGCCAATCGGCGATTAGAAAACAGCCCACGTGACATAAGTTTCCTATCCAGTCTTTCTATTATCCATGCAGTGGTCAAACCAGTTGTTTGATTTGCGCCCGCTGTCGTCAACTGAGTGGCAACTTCAAATTTTTAAGTTTAGTTTCGTTGCACTTGTATGATTCACACTAGAGGAAAACGTCTAGTGTTTTGCAAACTCTTTAAGAACATGCTGGGTGCTTGAACGCTCATTACAAATTAAATAATGTACGCAATAAAAGAAGTTCATGTTAGGTTTACCCCGATGTAACCATATTAAAAGCTATTTCACGGCCATATCGTTATATTGGGAGTTTCGATATAACGATATTATTTTACTGCTCCCTTGGCATATCGTTATATCGGGGTTCCAACGTTGCGAGCTCACTTTGCAAAGTCGCTGCCAACGAACTAAGATCACTGGGTGCGACTGACCGATTTAAAAAAGAAAAATTATTTTCTCTTTCAGTTTCTTATGCTGTAGCTTGTTAGTCCTTTTACCCGAAGACAATATTTTTTCCATTATATATATCTTTTGGAAATGCGTGCAGGGACTAGATTGCTTTAATTTCTTTTTGTAGGTCACCTGTAATCAGTCTACGTATTTTGAGAATGAGCTCTCTTTGGACGAAGCCTTGACTAAAAGGGAGCTTGCTGTTTTCGGAAAACCTGTAGACGAGACACGGTAAGACATTGACAGTGTAAGAAATGAATTGTAGGCTAAACAGTGTAGTATTCTATTAAACTACCTGAAGAAGAAAATTGGTTTTAGGTCGCCTAAGAAAATACGAGGCTAGTCGTTGTATTACCGGGGCGTCTGTGGAATAGAGATGTCACCACGTAACTCTTAGGCGTACCGGCCGGGGAGGCGAGGGGGGCTGCAGCCCCCAAATTTAGGGCAACTCAGATTCTCAGAGTCTCCATGTTTGTTTAATTATTTTGAAGACCTGAATATTAACCTGAAGTCAGCGTAATAATCCAGTTACATTCACACGAGACAGTAATCGCCTAACATGTAATCAGTAATTTACATATTTATTTTTTTGTTATTGTTAGGCACCGTACTGCACTGCACTAGCTGGAATAGGCTATCCAGTCGTGAATTGATTAGAATAAACTTTCGCATAACTTTTTAGAATCATCTCCACTCGAAGAACAGGGTGGGTCCGAAAACGAAGGAGTGGCTGACTAATTCTCAGTTTGAATTACGAGAAGAATCTTAATTCTTTTAAAAAATCTATCGAGAGGTTTACAATTATTCGCTAATTTGTTAAAGTAGACCGAAATGTTTACAAAACCGCTAACAAGAGGGCCGCGATACATACTAATCAAATCCTTCTTTCTAGCAATCGGGCAGAGCTATCCCCACGATCTTTCACACACGTTTTTAAAAAGATTAAAACTACTATGAGGTGAAATTGCATGTCAAAATCGCTTCGTTTTCCACAGATAGCGGCCAAACCTCAAAATTTTCCTTTTCTTACCGTATTTCTAACGGTAAAAACTTCATCCCAAAGTATCTCGATAAAGCTCTTACAGATTTTTCTTAATAATTTGCAAAGATCAAGAAGACCGTATTGGCGAAAAAAGCTCCTGTGAATGATCCTGTAAGGTTGCCAGTGCCGAGAATTTTTTAAATTTTGCTGAAGCAAAATAGGTAGTGGCGTGATTTCGATGCTATGACAATGTTGTTTATCGCGACGTACCTGGTATTGACCCTGAAAAACTGTATCGAGCCACCTTCATACGCCAGTGCGGCCTATGTTGTTGCAATATGGCCCCCGTTTCTTTTCTACTCTTTTGTAAAAAATTTGGGTCACTTGCGAGAATTTTTTGGGCAAATGGTTTACGCCCCCCCCCCCCGGCAAAAAATTTTCCGTATGCCTATGCACGTAACCTATAAAATTGTTTGCCATATATTGAACATACTTAATTTGCAGTGAACCTAACGCGTTGATGAGGCTCACCACCCCTTTACCTGGAAGCGGCAAGTTAGCACATACCAAGTCCTTAGTCTTTTGGTCAAGTCCTTAGTCTCCTTAGTCTTTATTGTCTGACGTTTACCCCTTGGTATATCTCGTCATGGGCTTCTATTACTTCAAAAAACCTCCTGGAGTAATAACCAAATCAATGAACAATCTTTTTTCTCTTGAAATTGCTTAGTCCTTTGAGTATGTTTTGCACTGTGGTCATGTCTTCTTTTCGTTAAAGAGTCGCGCCAGCAGATTCAAGTGCGTTCTTCTATAATCTACTTTCGGAGGTCGCAAATTGGCCTTTGCTGATGCAGTCGAGGCACTGCAGTGTAGTATTCCTTGAAATCGCAATACGATCATTGTATCGAAGAAAGTCTTCAATGCTATGGTCCTCGTTTTACCAGAATGGATGTTTTTGTGGGTTTTTGGGCATAGAAGCAGGCATTTTAACTCTTGCTAGGATCTATCCGTAAACGGTCTTCTGTGTAGCTCTTACCTCTTGTAACAGGGTCGCCGTGGCACGGTGATTAACTGTTCTTTGACTACTTCCTTCATGAAGAACTTGTCGCCTTGGTCTGATGAACGAAATGGCGCATGGAAAAGAAGGAGGGAGCAACGCGATGACTTAGTGTTCTAGGTCATGTATCCCCAGCATATACGCAAGATGCAACGGAACTAGCTCTTCTCTGTCCGGCATCCTTCTCCAGTTAACAAGAATAACAAGGATGTCTCGCAGCTGTAGAATTTCATGTATAAGCTAACATGTCCTCCACGCCGATGGTGATGAGTGCGCAATCATCGACAATTAGGAATGTTCTTTGTCACTAAGGCAATGTTTTGAGGTGGACACCGACTAAACAGTTTTCCATCTGAGGTATATCTCTGCTCTAGAGTCCTTTAAAGCTGTAGTTCAAGACTCCCTGTGGCAAAGCTGAATGGGGTTTGTTCAAGAACGTAGCCTTCATCACTCCGTCGGTCACATAATATGGTTCTGAGACTACAAAATCACTCTGCACTCTGGTAGTCATGCCACTCGGCTATGATAGTAATGAACTGGTGTGGGCATCCAAACTTCACTGTAATTTTCCCGAGACCTTCTCGTCTTGTAGTGTCAAACCCCGTATCTTTGAAATATTCTTGCAACTGCCTTGCTGCGAAATACGAAACGGTTTAGTTACTGTCCATTGTGTCACTCATTCAACCCATAATGTTTACTGAAGCTGCATTCAAATCCCTCTCTTGACGTTTCAGTTAGACAAATTTTACACGGTGTAAATTAAACCCTTGTATTCAGCTGACCAATATGTCTACTATGTACTTATAGTCTATGAGTTTTTGAAGTAAATGAAAATATGGCGTTGGCAGTGATGGAGCCATTTTATGATTGACGTCCAAGTTGTTGCACTGGTAATTATATGATTATTTCCTCTCATGACTCTTAGGGATTTTTTTTGTTTATCACAAGGTGGGCTATTTCACCAATTGCTGTTAATGCGTACTATGATATGTTGGCAAACAAGATGGGTGAGTGTCACAAAAACTTTATCCTTATAAAGTACGTCTTTATTCATAAATTCACAATGAACAATTAATTAATTACAAGTAGTCCATCTTTATAGATGTTTGACTTTATAATGTGCAGGGCCCGGTTCCTCAAAGGCCGATTAGAGTTAATCTAACGGCTCCGTGTGCAACGACTCGGCATTAGCCTGCGTAGCAGTCGTCGAAAGGGGTAGGGACCGTAGACTAGAAAACTGGGTCGGGTTTTTCAAAACTCGGCGAGGATAACCCAGGGTTATTGTTATTATAGATAACAATTATTCACCGAAGTGGAGGTGGCTAGTGGTAATATTTACCGAGACCGCGAAGCGGCGACATAAATACCACCACTAGCCACCGACACTGAGGTAAATAATTGTTTTAGTATATACTAAAACGGTGAGATTTTAACTCATTTACTGTTGGCCAACGATTATAATTTTGGCGCGCAATGACCGAACGGACGCGGTCGTCGCTTTTTCTTGCCGACAAATGAAACTTTTGAAGGCATTTGTTTAGCTCTTGCGGGGAATTTGGAGTTGTGAATTCTTTTTGTATTTAAAATCACTCATGCATCGGTAAACTAAAAACTTTTTCACCGGTTCAAGTCAAAAGGACTTTACCTGTTAAAACTTCCAAACCGAACTTCGTCACCTTCTTTGTGTATTTCGGGAGCAGCTTGCTTGATTAGTTGCGAAATTTTCTTTTTTGTTACGGCAGCAAACCGGGAAGGCATTTTGCTCGCATGTTACTCGAGTTTTGGCGTCGCTCGCCCGGAGGAACGGGAGGTGAATCAGTGAATAGTTAACAATTATTCTTTGAAATCGAGGTGAATAGTGGCAAAATATTTACCGAGCCGCGAAAGCGGCGAGGTAAATATTCTTAAAGCCACTATTCACCGAGATTGAAAAGAATAATTGTCTTACTATACACACACGAAGTGATCTCGACAATATCAAAAAGAAAACCATTTAAAGGCAATTTATAGACATGTCAATTCATGCCTGATGAATGCACAGTGCACGCGCAAGAGTTATTTACAGAAAGTTAAAATGTGGTAAATCTCTGCTCGAGCTTTTTTTTCCACAAAATGTTTTCAAAATGCTCAAAATGAGCCTCACGGAAAGCCTAAATTAATAGTCTGAACTGAAAAAAACATCCAAAATCCTCTTTTAAAGTTTACTGAAAGTGGAAATTGAACGAGCAGTTGGAGAAGGAGCCACCAGAAATGATGCCACGTGCAGCGTTAGTCGACATGTTTTCTTAAACGAAAATGTTATCCTGGTTCATCCATTTGTGGATGTGCTTGAGTGAATTGCTTTGGATACTGTCTCCAAGGGAGAACGATTCACTTCTGCTAGCGGGTTAATGGCGACTTGATGGTCAGGTCTGCAGAGGTTAATGAAATCTGTAATCGCCGAAGACATATCCTTGAACTGCTCGAACGTTGGACAATCGTTGTAGGATCCCAAACTTGCATCGCTTTTGTGGCCCTTGACTGCTCTGATGTGGCGATTTTTCATGTCTTTAGAAGACAAAATATTTACGGTGGTCGACCTGACGCAGTGATTTGTGAAAGGAGGATCGATACCAGCTCGGAGGCACATATTCTTCATCATGCTGTCGATCGTGTTATGGCCTAGAGGAAGTGTTGAATACCAAATGACATAAGAAGACGGTTTAAATTTAGGACCAGTTGAAGGCTTCTGAAAGAGTGCTTCACATTTTGGATTTAAATGGGACAGGTAAGCCTTCACTACTGCTACTGGACAGATAGCAAGCCCTTTGCCCTCGAACATTTTACCATCAGATGGGTCGTCGGTGCCATCTAGACCACCTTGGTGATTTTTGGTTGAAAAGACTCCTCCTTACGTTTCTCTGTTAAGCTTAAAATATTCCAGGCCGGAATTTGGGTTTTGGAGAGCTTTAGGCTTGATTTTGTCAATTGACGCTGGTTTTCCCTTCCTCTTCGACCAAAGTAGAGGGTTATAAAAAACCAGGCTGTTTGTTGTAGCTTTTGTGGATCGAGGCATCTTGCATCTACTAGTTCGCCGGCTTCGTACAGCTTTGAAACTGCTTCGGTTGTTAGTGTGGGTTTGTGGACTGTAGAACAAATTTGACCTGACTTGCTCAGAGTTTTCAGAAACGAATTTAGAGCTTTGTTCGCTTCCGTGAACTGGCTGTCGCTGATTATCGAAAATGGCTTGTTGTGTGGCTCGTTGCGCAAGTGCCGATCAATAATACGGCGGCTCTGATCGAGGTAAGCGTTGCTTTATTGTAGTAACCTCCGTCCTCTTTTCCTCCAGACATATAAAATTTCCGCAAGCATTTATTTAACTCCTCGTTGTTCATCTCTTCTATATCTGTGGTAAATTCTTCTTGCTGGGAAAACCAATCTACAAATAATTTACTCATATTGTAACAAATGTTTGATGCGAAGAGTTATGAATGTCACTCAAGCTTATTGGCAGTTGTCAGCAAAATAAAACCCCAAACACTTTTTAACACTTTGGAGTCTTCTCTTACCTTTAAAAACTTTCAGTCCATACTTAGTTGCCTTTTTTGTATTCTCAGGCAAAGCCTCGTCTTGTATTTGTAAAATTTCTGCTTCTGAAACTTTAGCGAAACGCGAGTTTACGCCCGCCATTTCGTTTTTGTTTTCAAGATCACGAATTACGCATTATCCATTCGCTCGGAGGTGAATATTGTTGAATAGGCCGAGATAGCGAACCAATCAGATTGCTTAAAACACTAAGAACACTGAGTGCGTATATACTAATGCAGGATATTCACTGATCGAGCAGCCAATCAGAGAGCACGGAAAACACTATCTACTGTTTTAGTATATACTAACTAATATTATCCGAAAAAATGCTTTTGGATAAAAGAAAACGAAACCGGGATTAATTGTTAACCCATGGTTAGCGCTAATCGACCTTCGAAAAACTGGGCCCTGGGCTTCAAATTTCGCTTAACCTTGGGATCAGCCTAACCTTTCTCGAGTAACTTGGTCCAGATAGATAATATATCGATTCAACCAAGGCTTAAAGCGGAACACAATTAACCTATTAACTCACAGCAAAAAGCTTTTCCCACTCGAACATCCTTAAGTTTTTAAATGGAAATTTACAGAATGTAATTTAAAAAAATTTTATTTTTAGCATCAATCAGTCAGTAGTATCAATCAGTCGTTAGATCTGCATTATGACAAATACAAAACTAGTGGGACAAAATTCAAGCTTTGTGCCTTTCTAAATGAAACAATTCAGAAAACAAAGCCTTAAGAGTGAAAAACAAAACAAATGATTAAAAACAGGACCTGAACAATCGATGAAAATCGATGATCGGAAAATCGGTTGATTAATTACTGTTGATTAGCATCGATTGGCATCGGCCAATCGGTGATCAATCGATAATTACACTTAGGTGATTGCGAACTTCATCGATTGCCATCGATTGGCACTAAATTCACGTCTCCGTATCTTCAGGTATCGCGGGAGTGTACGCAGATCGTATATTATTTTTAAACGTCAGTAGCAAAGTTTGAGAATTGCCAGCTGTTTTGTTGAAGCATAACAGTGGGGCTGATTTTCTTACACACAAATCCGTAGTACGTTTCTATGAATTTTAAACTTGCGCGAAACGTGTGAGCAAATAAACAAGTTTACACATTCCTACTCGCTAGTTTTTATTCAAATAAAAAGCAATGATATCAAATGTGTAACTTTATTAGTACTCGATGAAATTGACAATTGAAATGTTTGACTGAATAGGTAATCGATTGATATTGCAAATTGATAACAATCTATTATGTTAATTGATCGATTCCCATCGATTATCGATTGATATTGATAATCGATGATAATCAATAATCACAAAAATTTTCCTGATCGATTGTCCATCGATTATCAATATCAATCGATTAATTGATATCGATTGTCATCGATTGCAATCGATTGCCATCGATTATCGATTTCATCAATTGTTCAGGTCCTGTTAAAAAAGGAGAACATTTAAGGTGGCTCGACTGGATTTTTTGGGGTTGATACCTCCCAACTTTGAGCATTAATTACGTCGGCATGAGTAAAGATATGGAAAAAAGGTTACCACAACTGTATTATATAAAGATAAAAATTTCTTATGATCTGGGTTTTATTGCAATCGGAGTCGCCATGGCAACGTAATGACGCCATTACGTTTTTCATTTATCTTTGTGTTTCTCTGTTCCAGGAGTTTTTTGAAGAAATCGCTTGAGGGAGTATGTACCTGCTATAATTGCCTCCATTATGGCAAAGTTTGAACAAATTCTATGAGAGCGTTTTCGAAATATTTTGAAATGTAGTTTTAAGATTAATAAAAACAGTGAAATAGCATGCTACCTACACAATTCGCTAATATTTTAAGAAAATGGTAAGCTTTGGGAACGAGGCTTCATCTCATAGTGGTTTGATTCCATTGAAAACTGCATACGAAAAAAGACGGGAATTGCTCTGGGCGATCGCGAGTAAGAAGAATTTTATTAACTTGCATTTAGCTGCTTTTGATACAGTTTTTGGACGTAATTTGGTCCATGCCTAAAAATTTCGCATTTTTCCAAAAACCGCTCGATAATTTTTTTTATAAATTCGACAATCCCGAGATCAATCGCCAAGAAATATTCCCTGCAAGTTTTCAGAACATTGAAAATAGGGAAGGCTTTTAAATAGGGCCTCAAATATAGGCAATTTCCCCCCAGATTTTGTGTTTACGAGTGAGCGTCCTCATTATTCACTGGCATTGTTTTCAAGTTTCATATACACGTGCACATTTAGCAAAAAGATAGAATTTGCATCAAAAAGGAAACAATGCCAGTGAATAATGAGGACGCTCACTTGTAAACACAAAATCTGGGGGGAAAATTGGTTATATTTGAGGCCCTATTTAAAAGCCTTCCCTATTTTCAATGTTCTTTAAACTTGCAGGGAATAATTCTTGACGATTGATCTCGGGATTGTCGAATTTATAAAAAAATTTATCGAGCAGTTTTTGGAAAAATGCGAAATTTTTGGGCATAGACCAAATTACGTCCAAAAACTGTATCAAAAGCAGCTGAATGCAAGTTAATAAAATTCTTCTTACTGGAGATCGCCCAGAGCAATTCCCCTCTTTTTTTGTATGCAGTTTCCAATGGAATCAAATCACTGTGAGATGAAGCCTCGTTCCCAAAGCTTATCATTTTCTTAAAATATTAGGGAATTGTGTAGGTAGCATGCTATTTCACTGTTTTTATTATTCTTAAAACTGCATTTCAAAATATTTCGAAAACGCTCTCATAGAATTTGTTCAAACTACGCCATAATGGAGGCAATTATAGCAGGTACATACTCCCTCAAGCGATTTCTTCAAAAAACTCCTGGAACAGAGAAACACAAAGATAAATGAAAAACGTAATGGCGTCATTACGTTGCCATGGCGACTCCGATTGCAATAAAACCCAGATCATAAGAAATTTTCATCTTTATGTAATACAGTTGTGGTAACCTTTTTTCCATATCTTTACTCATGCCGACGTAATTAACGCTCAAAGTTGGGAGGTATCAACCCCCAAAAACCCAGTCGAGCCACCTTAAAATCTCAAAATCACAGTGTAAACTGAAAAGCAAATTGCAGTACTTACAATGAAGGTTAATTGCATAAGGGCAGCCACGTTTAACAACAACAAACTTTTATTGACTGTACAGTTTAACTAATTCTATTAAAAGCCCATTGCCATCCTTGATACATTGCGCGCAGTGGACAAAAAAAATCCCGCGAATTTCTTATTACACGAAATTACTGATAGTTGTGAAAGGCTTATTGTTATGTTACAACGGTTATTCAGCGCTGTTACCAGACCACACGCGCACCCATGCCATGTGCTTTTTGAGTGTTCTGAGATATCGCCATGTTTGTTGATTAAACTATTGGACTGTTGCGATATAGAACCAGTCTATTCTCTGTCGTGAGACACAACACTTACCGTATTTATTCGATTAACCACCCTGGGCGCTTATTAAATTTTTGGACCTTGAGAGTGGGCGCTTATTCGAGGTGGGCGCTTATTCGAATAAATACGGTATTTCAAAGATTTTGTGTCGGTTCGAACGGCTCAGGCTATCCGTTCGAAGCAAATTGTCATCCGTTCGAACCGCTCTGGCTCTCTGCTCGAAAAAAAATTGTCATCCGTTCGAGCGGCTCGAGTTATCCGTTCAAAACAATACGCTGATTCAGGAAAAAACTAGAAATTGGGTGGAAGCGAGGCCAAAGGGCCCTTGGCGGCTTCTGCCGGTAAAAACAAATGCGTTCTCGAAAATGTTTTGGGCTTTTATTCGATCTCCTAATCAAAATGGGACATTACACCAAGATCCTTGCAAGCGAAATAAAACGAAAACTAATCATAAGACAGTGCTGCTGCCATGTGCAACAACCTCAGTGGAAATAGGCCGGATCATACCTACCATAAATTTCCGTCCGATCCTGAAACAAGAGTAGAAGATGAGAAATTCTCCTGATCATGCGAAGAGGAGATCAGAAGTTTAAAAGCGTTGAGAATAAGTATTGTTGTTTAGAGCATTTCGCACCAAACGATTACAGAATAAGTGTCACCGAAAGGACTTTAAAAAAGGAGCCATGCCCTCCACTTTTCCTGGGTCTTCAGCCGAATCACATGTTAGAGAAGAACGTCTAAGGTTGCGGACACAAGCAAAAATATCGCATAAGGAAAGAAAATGTCAGAAGAATCGCCATTGAGCGATGAAGTGCAAGATTCTGTTAATTTTATAGGTCCTCCAAAGATCGAATAATTTGCTGAAGCGGAATGTTTAGAAGTAGAAATCCTAAAAAGGAACTTTCTAAAGCAAAAGAGAAAGAGTACGTTTTCACCTTTGGTCTTGAACGCTTCCCAAAAACCCGATGATATTCACTTGTACACTGGGTTTCCAGGTTATGAAACACTTATAGCATTTTGGAAGTATATAGATTAAGTATATAGAACCAAGCGCATCCCATCTAACTTACAGTGTGAGAGATGCCACTCAAGTAAATACCGATGAGGTTTTTCCATTCTTAAAGACCCCTGGAAAAAAAATCCCTGGCAGGAATGTAGTGCACAGCGAAGTCGTCAGCCTAAAGATGAATTTTGGCTGTCTTAGCTTGACTTAGACTTGGTCTTTTTGAGCGTGATTTGGCTTTCAGGTTTAACATATTTATATCCACAGTTTTTGATATCATGATTACCTATAGTAATTATCTGTTTGTAATGCTGGGAAGCTTTCCAGTGTGGGTGTCAAAAGATGTCATAAAGCAACATCTCCCTACAGCCTTTCAAGGAAAATTTGAAAATGTACGCTGCATCATTGACTGCACTGAGATTAAGTACGAGAAACCGGGAGATCTCCAAAAACAGAGTGAGTTTTATTCAGTCAAAGGACTGATTGGTATTTCACCTAATGTTTGGGTTACGTTTGTCAGTAGCCTTTTTGGGGGCAGCATTTCAGATCGGCGAATCATAGAAAAAACTCATTTTGTTGACTTGCTGGAACAGGGTGATCTTGTTATGGCTGACCGTGGATTTGACATACAAGACTTGATGGCAGCAAAACCCGCTAAGATATTTATACCACCCAAAAGGCAGTCAGACTGTTTTGAAACAATGAGAATAGTAAATGTAAGAATCCACTTAGAAAGGGCCATCAGACGTGTAAAAGGTGGCACATATTTGGCCAAGTACTCCCCCTAAGCATGGCTGGGGTTGTGAATCAAGTCTGGACAGTGTGTTGTTTATTTACTAACTGGCAAGCACCTGCTCTGACCCTTTGTGTACAATAATCAAATAATGATCACAAAGTAAAGAAAGAAATAAGATGACAACTATAATTACTAGTGGTGTATTTTTTTAGAGTTAGAAATAAACTTGGAAAGTTATTTTTCTTTGCTGCAAATTAATATATGTTATTCACCGGCTGGGAGGTCCGTATTGGGAGAAACTGTGCCCGAGGTCTTGAATGCGGCCGAGGGCGGTACTCAGACCGAGGGCTCAGTTTCTCCCAATACGGACCGACCTAGGCCGGTGAATAACATTTTTCTTTTTTTCCTACTGAGATTTAAGAGTTTCAGGAAAATTTTACTTCAGCCTCCAACCTATGAGTGTTGAAGAAGGGCGCGTTCGTGTTGATGTTAGTGAGCTTACGAACCGACGACTTTCGCACGACGCCGCCGTTGGGTCACGTCATAGTTCTGCGTTGCCGTCCTGTAGAATTTGAATTTACGATTCGTAGTAAAGACAACGACGTTGGTGCGCGAAGCTGGCAAATTTTCTTGCCGTTTCTGAAGTTTTGTTTCTTCTTTTCACAAGTAAGCTTGTTTGTTCAACCAATATGTCTAAACTCATAAGAGAAGCGAGAACTCGTATTGCAGACGCTTATGGAAACAGATTTATAAAGGACCGAGTATTTCACTGTATTTGTACTTTTATGCGTTTCGTCAACAAACTCAGAGTTAACTACGGATTTAGACGAGACAACAAAGGACGAATGCAAGGCTCGTTTATATACAGGGAGGGCATTTATAAACTTGCTGAACAGCTGTAGTTACTGTGATGAGATAACCACTTGCAATGGTCTAGTCGTAACTTTGGTACCATCTTGCCAATATGGTTTCACTCGGTGTTAATATATGTTTGTCTACAGCTAGCTATGGTGTTGATTCTTCGGGTCGTTACTCCAATGAAAACAGACAAACAAATCGAAAACATATGTAAAGAACATGTACCTAATGTTATACTTGAATTATCTGGAAAAATCCGCTGAAGTATGCAGGGAAAACTTTGAAAATTAGTCTTGCGTCCTGCGTTTTCTAGGACGCCAGCGAATCGCTGTCAACAACGGCTTCGACTTTGGCGCGACGCCGGCAAGTGCCCAGATAAGCATGCGCAGTAAGCCTCTCACGCAGTCCAACGGCGTCGTCGTGCGATAGTCTTCAATTCGTAAGCTCCCTGTTATTCAAACTGAGCGCACGATCGATTGCAAACCAAGACAAAACATTACAACATGATTTTTAACTTGTAATTTATATTATTACTATTAAGCTCTCTTTAGAATAAAGAAAGGTTTTTGTGTCTTGGTAGGCAAGTCATAATCTGAGTGTCAAACCAGGATAAAAGAATTGACGAACTTAAAAGCCACAGGAAAGGAAATAGATCAAAGATTTTCTTCGGCTGAATATTTACTTTAAGATTAATTCAATCGAGCGGGATAAAAACTGCACAAAAGCTTTATAAAAAGAGCTAATTACACATACCAATCTTAGGGTTTTGAAGTGAATTCGAATAAAAGAAGGCGATGTGCGTGACTAAACAATTATATAAACAGAAATAAAAACAGCAATAACTGACTGCTGGCAAAGTTGTTCGTGTTGTTTATTCAAGATTGAAAGCTACATGCAACGTTGACAACAACCTTTTCTTAAAAGTAGAAAACTAGCGAGGCAAAATTCAATGAAAAACGGCAGAATCTAGATTCAGACAACAAAAATGGGAAACAAACCTACAAACAGACGAAAAATGTCGAATAAACGGTGCATAAGAGAAAGATTGCAGTACTTTCAGCGTAGTTATAAAGCTACTGAAGCGACATCGCGAGCCGCCTGTTTTGCTTTACTTTAGCGGTTTTCCTAGCTGACTTGCTTGATTTTCCCTTCAGATGTTTTGTCTGAATAACAAAATCCTCTTTTCCCTAACTAACGTTGATAATAACGCAAGTTTTAAAAGAAAAATGGTTAAAAATCACCGGTTATGCTCATTCACAAACAACAAACAAACTTGTGAATGAAGCTGTCAACGATTCCGCCCGGGTTAGCGGGCAAGATCGTAAAAAACTGCCCTCTCTCGGAACCAATCAGATTGCAGGATTTGGAGGATTCTGCCCGCTCGCAAGCTTAGAACAAAATAAAATTTTATATTGTGGTCTCTTAAGTTACAATTAAATGAATATTTTTTTTTCAAATTTCTGCTTTTGAGTTGTCAAGTCAGAATTGTTCCTTTTTGGGGGAAGAGGGGAATGGATGGAAGGTATAATATCACACACAATAAACAGTCTGTAAGCATTTAATTTGTTACAGGTTGTAACATCATAAATCATAATAGGAGATTCTACGCAAGCACGATCAGTTTGAAAAAAAACCTGTGGTAATAAAAACACGACTTTCTTGATTAGCAATTCAAAAGTCATTCCTATCTCGGCCAAACTTAAGGCTGGGGTATGCTAATTCGTGTAAAATGTATTGGTCAAAAAAGTTCTCAAGGTGTACTAACTTTTCCTTCCATCATGCCATATTTGAAGGTACTCGTTGCGGGTGCAATTCTTTTTTGCCCCCTCGAACTACAAAATCACACCAAGTTCTCTCTGCAACAAATGCTTGTTGTTGAATTTGGTAGTAACACTGATGGCTCTTGTTAATGATGCTATCTTTGTTACAAATCCCTTGTCTTATTAAGGCCATCTTCAGATTTTCATTTTCTTAAATTTTTATGTTCTTCACCTCAACCAGCCCAAGGGGTTCTCACAGCTTTGATCAGTGACAAGTCCATCAGGTGACGCTCCTAAAAACCCATGGCTTTTAAAAACCAAAAAAGCCACAAGACTGGACTTGAAGGTTGGCAATCAGCTTTTAAGGCAAATCTGCAGACAACCATATTGAGAGTTGTTATTTGTCAGAAACTCTTTCATGACAACCGAGACTATAAAGAATTAGTATATACACGCTCAGTGATCTTGGTAATTCAAGCAATCTGATTGGTTAGCTATCTAGGACTATGACGTTATATTCACCGCGCTAGGCGGTGAATATAAAGCAGAACAAAATCGCTGTCGTGAACTGGGCGTTTTGCCAAAGTTTCCTAGTAAAGCCTTTTTGAAAATACACGAATTACCAAGTGCTGATGACTTTCAAGGCAAGAAAAGACTTCATGGTGTTTAAACAGCGTGATTTATTGTGAAGTGGTTTACTGTAGCTGACTTTTTGTGCGCTCGAAAATTTGTTTACCACTACAGAGGAAAACGAGATCGCTTTGTCACTGTTTTGTGATTTTGGGATTTTCCCGCAAGACCAATTTTGCCTATAAATAGAAGTTAATTAATGGAGAAAAGAGGAAGGCAAATATTTTCAAAAATTGTACGTGCCAGCAAGTTAACAAGGCAAAGAACACTGGATGACAGCATTTGCAAGAAGCCACAAAGAAAACTTTCTCATTCACGGTGAGTTGACAGAAACAAATAAAGCTCTACTTTTCTTCTCAGAAGTGGGTAGTAATTTAAATTTTCGGCGTTTTTTTTTAAACCGTCGATGCTAAAACTTACAAAACTCGATACAAAAAGATTAAAACTATCATTTGCCGTGTTTGAAGATACTGTAAAGTCTGTAAAGATCTAACTTTTGCGCATCCACTGTTTACGGCTTCGTGTTCACGCATGAATTCACCTGTCAATCAAACTAATCGTTTTTTAATGGTTTCCTTTCTGATTCTGTTGAGATCACTTCGTGTGAATATACTAAAACAATTATCGAACTGCATGAAAACGATAGGTTGACCACAACCTGACCAGAACAGACAACGAATAGCTTTTAAGAGAAAACCACCCACTATAAAACCCATCACTATAGGAAGGCCTTATTCAACTATGACGGATAGAGATGATCAATAGACAATAATATATAATTGGCCGACACGAAAACGCATTGTAGCACGAGGCAAAAATATTTATACGTTTCAAGATTCTTTCCATTTAATTTTTTATCATTCTTCAACCTAATAAAAAAGGAATTAGTTCGTTTGCATTTTGCATTTTGTGTTCATTTTTCGAGGGAGAAATCTACGCATTTTATAAACTGGGCGTGCTAGGCAGGCCAGTTAATTACGCTCTTCTAGAACTCCGCGGTTGACTTCAACTGATGTCTTTCCCCTTTTCGGCTCCTTCATCTTAAAGGCTAACTCTTTCGTGTGTTGTTAGTTAAGTTGTTGTTGTTACAGTTTAAGAAACGGTCGCTGCTCGGTTGAAAATTTGGCTTTGTTTGTCAAAGTCTTCTCTGCTAAACAAATTCACCATTCATGATCTCGACGGACAAAATTAACGCCAGGATGTTTAATCACTTACACCAATACTAAACACTGGATTTCCAGCCAAGGAACAGAAAGGAGTATGTGATAATCCCTCTTTCCCCAGTTTCTGCTCGGCAAAACTCGACTATATTTCATTTTTGCAAGCCGCTTCTACTTGCTTGGATATCATATGAAACACACCAACAAGTATTTGACGATTCACATGATTTTCTGTTTGATTTGTTTCAGTGTTCCCGGCTGCTATCCTCCAGTCGCCATTTTACAACACCCGTTATCCTTGGTAGGTTATTCTTTTAATTGATATGTGTTAAAAGTTCTTAAGCGAAAGAAAGCCTCAGTTTGTGTTTTTTTTTTTTTTTTTTTTTTTTACTACAGGGCGGTATTGTATGGAGGAGTGGGCTCTATTATGGGCCACGAACTGACGCATGGATTTGATGTTCAAGGTAGGTACTATCAGCAGGACACATTTCTCATTTATTTCTTAACAGCCCATTCCCTAATTAGACCCAGTTCTGCTGAAACACTGAGCACCTTCAAAAATGGACTCTGATATTTTCAGATGGTTTCTCAATAAATTCAGGCCTGACAAACACCTTCCCTACGTACGTCTCCAAGACAAGGACTGTTCAGTGGCCGTACGTGCCATGTTTCAAGCCTAGTTGAGTTTGGGGAAAATGCATTGCTTTGCCCCTTTACAGGATTTTTCCACCACTGAGCTTTTCCACCTAAGAAACTATTAAAACAAAATTGTCTAAAATGTTGAAAGCACTTCAGTTATCTACAGCTCCCCAGACACCTGCGAGATGAGATTTAAACGTTAATAAGATGTTTATCAATAAGACTTTTCAAATGTCTGATTGGCAAAAGCAATGGCAGAAATGGGAAGGATCAGCTTCTCAACCCCGAGGAAGTTTGTAGTTACTCTGGAAAACATAAAAGCAGAGGTTGGCGTAAACCTGATCTTGCAGTCTCTGTCTGTCAGCAGAAGAGAAGAAAGTGATACATTAATGTCTGCTTAATATTTGCGAGTGTGTTTTTGTCATTACAACCACCTTCTCGTTACAATGTAAACTTGTGATTGCAAGCTCTCGGCGGCAACGCTCATAATTTACCAAGGGTCGACATATCAGTCCTTTCGGAAAGACTAGAAAGGTTATCAAGTATGTAAAGGGGGTAGTAGCTTAACGAGCCAAGTATGTTTCCAAGCGTTTTCCTACGATAGCGTTTATTGCAGGAAATCACCATGGTTTCTCTGAGTTACTGTGGCACTACGATTCGTTTACGGAGATCTAGCATTGAGTTCAAGAATGATATCGTAAAGTGCAGACATGGTTCGTGGAATTTATTATAATATTTTCAATCCTATACACTAAATGGTATTCTTCTGAAGGATTTGTCACGAGCGCTGCCTCTGGGTATCTTATTAGGGCTACTTGTACCTCTTTCATTTTTCCGACACCGGGGAACTCGATCAGGTCAGCGTACTCCTCCAGTGATTTTCCTATGGGTGTTTCCTTTGCTAGAACTGCGTTCACAACTCTCAAATTCGTGGTGCTCTTTAAGTCTATCAATCGTTCAGTGTTACAGTTTCCCTTTTTTGGCTTGGAACGTCAGTGCAGCATTTTGACGCCGACAATTGTATTAAATATTCCAGTTACTTTTAAAGGACCGACGGGCTTTTAAATCTTTAATATGAAAAATCATCATATGCTCTTCATCTTACCTAACCTTTGAAAAATGAACTCGTCCGTAACGTTAACCGTGGCCACAGCTGAAAACGCCGTTTTCTTGTTCTTATCCTCTCCTTAACTTTTACATTTATCACCGCCTAAGTTTCGCGTTTCTTTAACGTAATTTCTGAAACGCGGCCAAGCCAAAGTTGGTCTGATTCAGGATCAAACGGTCCATAGTTAAGATACCACTGCCAAAAACTCATCTCTGTCGCCAAGTCCTGTGAACAATGTACAAGTTCCATCTTTACTCCCACTAGCCGTTATGGTTTTCTCTTTGTTTGTCTTCCTGTACATTGCAAATAATGAACACCTAAAAGAGTTCTCATTTGCCTGCACCCTACTGGCCTTTAAACACAAAATAAAAATGTTGTATAATTTTATTTACAGGAAGGCGATTTGACGTAAATGGAGATGAACGAAACTGGTGGAGCGTAGACACGTTAAAGGCGTTTGAAAAGAAAACAACCTGCTTGAAGGAACAGTACTCCAATTTTACTTTTGATGGAGAAACGGTATGGAAATACCTTGAGTTTGCTTCCGCAGATAACAATTCACTTTGTTTGAATGTTTGACAAAATGGGCACTGATATCATTTATCAGATTGAGGGCGAGCAAACGTTATCAGAGAATATAGCAGACAATGGAGGCATCAGACAGGCATTCAGGGTGAGTTACAAAACATTTTCTCGTTAAACTCGGGTTCACTAGATCTAATGTCTTTGGATATATCTCAGCGCTTAAGCTTTTAGCCCAGTCCCTGTACGACGTCTTTCCTGGCCTGCTCGGTCAATGCATTTCGTTGACGAATCCGAGACGAAAGGCTGGAACACGCCTAGACAATCTCGGAGTGCACATGCTTGTGTTTTCCCCGCCTGAGTAAGCCTTTCGTGGTGGCTAAGGTCTCGAGGCTCGCTCTCAACCTCCTCTGCAAGAATTTTCTCTATATTTCAAAAAGGATAGTCACGAAAGTATAAAATTAGGTTTATAGAAAGACTCTTCTGGGTTATGGTAAGGTTAGTAAGATAACTGGTTTTAATACTGCATCTATTTTATTGTAAAAGAAGCGTTGGTAGTTGGCTTACTTTAAAGGCGCTCTGAAGGAGGGAGTATCTTCGATTTTTTTAATGTTTTTTTTGAGGTTGTTTTTAGAAATATCTGATTTATCTTGTAACGGCTGGCGTTCGCAGCCTACGGCTAGTGTAATAGCTTAATATCCCAAATGTTTGAATCGGCCCAGGATTTTATGTCTGTCTATGTGGCAACGGATATAAAGAGCAGGTTGTTTTTCCGCGGTCTTAATAAAACAGGTAAGCGCGCTTGCATTGTTAAACACAAGGCAGGACGTGGATAACATTCAAGGTCTATGCCTCGAAACTCTTTCTCAAATATCTCGGTGGATGGCTTGAAAACTCTGCAAAAGATTTTGAGGTCCGGAAGGCTCTGGCATGGTCAGCTTGTCACGGGTTGAGGAGAATATGGAAATCAAATTTAAGAAGAAGCATCAAGGAGCGGCTTTTCATGGCCTCTGTAGAGTCTATCCTGCTTTATGGAAGCGAGACATGGACAGTTACGAAAACTATGGAGAAGAAACTAGATGGATGTGATACCAAAATTTAACATGTCTTGGCCAGATAAATTGACCAACAAGGAATTATATGGTAATTTACCACCAGTGCAATCAAAAGTGGGCTTCAGAAGGTTGAAGCTAGCCGGTCATAGTGTTAGACACCCGGAGGAGGAAGCATCTAAACTAGTTCTTTGGCAGCAAAAGAATGGACGCATGAACATGGGAAGACCATAAAAGGATAGTTTAAATGATAATTTAAAGGAAGGATAATTAAAGGATAATTTAACCTCGGTTGGTAACGTCTGACAAGCAGCGCCGAGATCCTTGTTCTGGGCCCCCAACGGACTCAACGAATTACTGGAAATGCGCTTCTAATTTCTTTTCATCCTGATTGGCAAATCGACAATGGCTTTCTTAAGAGGCCAATCAGGTGGGGACTCAAAACAAGGATTTCGGCGCTGTTTCGCAGGCGGACTTGAGGGGAGATTACAGTTGAATTTTGGGGGAATTGCGGTATAGAGGAGAGTATACACGTAAACCAGTAAGTCCGCTAATTGGCTCAGGGCCACCTTGTCGTGGTGACGTACTGTCTGGTCTTTATATTAATTATTCACCTCAAATTTTAGTTTTTAACTACCCTTAAATCCAATATTTTTTAGTTTTTCCATAACTTTGAACATTTGCCCTTCAAACTTTTATTGACTACAAATATTTTAATAATCACCAAAAAATTCTCAAAAACTCATCGTTGTGAGGACTTCAGGGAGTGATTTATTTTAAAAATCGAATGACATTTTGACGAGATTTTCAAGGAAAAGTGCTCACGTATAATACAAACTAGGCGTTTAACTGTAATCACCCCCTTTCAACTGTGGCGCAGGCTACTTGCTCAACTGTTACAGTAAAGGATACAATGGCCTCAGAAGAGTTTATCCTAATCCCACACATCTCCACCAAAGCCAAAGTGTATGGCGGGGAGTGGGTTTGATATAAAGAAGATGTATCCGGTACTCGCAGTGAACATTGACTCAAAATCTAAAATCATATTTAGGCTGGACATAGGCTATTATCTGGTATACCAAAAGCAAGAGTAACAGCCTCACAAAACATGTAGCCACTGATGACCAACAAAACTGACCTTGAACGGCTCACATTTTGAAAATAAACTAATACCGTATATTTAAAAATGATGACATCATTTTTAATTATCACTTAAGCCCCATTTACACGACACTCATTTTGGGTTCGGCACTCCTAAAAATGGGCACGCGGGCCAATGCTTTTGGCACGGCCCGCCGTGCCTTGTAAATGCAAAGGCATCAACAAACAGTCTATAACTTTTAAAATTCATTTGATGCAGAAATTCAGTTACCATGAATTACTTAATGTGACAATTTTGTCTCTATGTTTTGCTAGCTATTGTATGGTTACTCTGTTGACCTGGTGCCTGTTGGTGCAAACTGTTTGATGAGGGTTGCACTATTTTATTTTTAGAATGATGTGATTGCAATTGCTCAGTCTCGCAAGGTTGGCAACCATTTTCAGATAGCCGTACACTGAAGGAGCAAAAACCTTTGTAGGCAATATTTGCCCAACAATTTCCTAAACGAGTTAGGAAAGACTTGACATTTGGAGAATTAAAAATCCTTCTTTAAAAAGTTTCCCGTGGAGCCAAAACTCGCCAATGATTTTATGCCGCTTAAACTACTGCGGCTGATTTCAAATAACCTTGAAGACTCGGTTTCCGTAACGAATATTATTCCAGCCATTAAAACCGACCATGCAGCCATTTCCTTGGATTTTAATATTAGTCAAAACTACATTAAAGGTCCGGGTTACTGGACAGTGAACTGTTCTCTTCTAGATGATGATAACTACCAAAGGGAAGTTACGGCTAAAATGCTTGTCTGGATGGCCGAGAGCAGATATTACCTGCCGGATCACAGATGTATTTGGGATTGGATTAAGTATAATCTTAGAGCACATGTAGTACAGATTTCAAAACGCAAAGCAAAGAAAAAAAAAGATAAGGAGAACATATTACAAGATGATTTTAACAATGCAAAGCAAACGTTCGAATGTGATCCTACCAATAAAAATGCAAGCGATTTTAATACGGCGAAAGAAAAAATGGAACATTTTTATGAAGAAAAACTCCAAGGTATTATCATTCGCGCTCGGGAGCGATGGTGTGAACACGGTGAAAAGAGTACAAAATATTTTCTCAATCTGGAGAAAAGGAACCACGTCAAAAAAACATGTGCGAAAATTGAAGATTAATGGCACGATCGCTACTGATCCGTTCAAATTTCTTTCTGAGGAAAAACGTTTCTATCAAGAACTATATACGAGTAAGAATTTGGGTAACAAGCAAGCAACAGAAATTTTTTTGAATAGTTTAAACATCCCTCGCCTCAGATGAACAAAAGCTTTCGTGTGAGGGCAGCATTACGGAGGAGGAGTGTGTTAAAGCTTTACACAGTTTGCAGGGCAATAAAGCTCCTGGTAATGACGGATTTCTAATCGAATTTTGCAGTAAATGTTGGGAAATTATTAGCGAACCTTTCGTCAACTGTGTCAAAGAGATTTTCACTAGTGGTGAAATGTCACGCTCCCAGAAACAGGCAGTGATCACTCTCATTGAAGAGAAAGGAAAGGCCGTTCTCTTTTAGAAAACTGGAGACCGATTTCACTTGTCAACGTTGATGCCAAAGTCTTAGCTACCAGGATAAAAAACGTCCTACCAAGCATAATTCATAGTCACAACCAAAGTTGTTTCGTGAAGGACCGCTTTAGGGGTGAAACTGTTCGATCGATCTTTGATTTAATGAAATTCTCTCTAAAAGAAAATATTCCAAGTTTAATGATTTTTATAGATTTCCACAAAGCATTTGACAGCTTAGAATGGAACTTTCTTTTCAGCTGTTTAGAAGCCTGTGGCTTTGGCCCATAATTCATTTGGTGGGTAAGGACTCTGAACCACAATATATAAAGTTGTGTTATCAACAATGGTCTCGCAACTGACTCTTTCCTCTGGAAAGGGGCGTGAGGCAAGGTGATCCGCTTTCTCCATATTTGTCCGTGGTTGCAGTTGAAACTCTTGCTTTGGCAATTGGTCAAAACTGAGAGATAATTGGTATTAAAATCGGTGGCGAAGAAACAAAACTCCTTCAATATGCTGATAACACAACGACCGCTCTGTCTGACATTAGGGACTTTAAGATCCAACGACGCGGACGACAACAAGAACGTCAAAAAAACAATACGTTTAATTAGCAAAACAACAACTTCGCACGTGCATCACACTCTTTTGTACATTTCTTTCCCTTTTTTGCACGACTACGACGTGAAAATGCCTAATTTCACGTTTTATGGAGGACGTAAACAAGCAACGACGAAATGTTATTTCTTTTTCTGAGCTTAAATATCCTCCCTTGAAATTCAGCTTCAGGAGGGTTCCCCTACATTTGACAAAGTAAGCTGGTAGGAATAATCGCTATAAAGACTGAAAGAACGCAAATCGACTTCTTAAACGACGTTCCTGTCGCCGTCGCGTCGTTGGATCTTAAAGTCCCTATTGAATCGGCACAGGCCCTTTTTAACCTTCTCGAAGTATTCAAGAACTTATCAGGACTTGTAATTAACTCATCTAAAACTGAAGGAATGTGGATCGGGTCGTCTAGAGATAAAACTTCAAAACCCTTTGGCATAAAATGGCCTGATGAACCAGTCAAAGCCCTCGGTGTTTATTTCTCATACGATATCTGATTTTGCACGAAAAAATTTTATTGAGAGATTGGACAGTGTCAAAAAACTTATAAACATTTGACGTAACATTTGGTCTTCAAGAGGTCTTTCTATCTATGGAAAAGTAACAATTATCAACTCCTTAATCATAGCAAAATTTATTTACATTTCCTCGCGTCTGCCGGTCCCCAAGGAAATTGTTAAAGAGTTAAATCAAATGATATTTAAATTTTGGGGGAAAGGAACCGATAAAGTGACAAGACTTTCCACAATTAAGGTGGCTCCGTGATTAACACAATAGCATTTAGCTGTGACAAATTTTCCGTCATAACTTTTTCGATTTTAACGCGATGGCTGCGAAACTTTGCAATTAACAACAGATATCATTCGGCAATAATACGAAATATTCCGATTTCATTGATGGCAAATATTTTTTGAGAAATTAGCGCTTAAAAGGACCCTACTGTTCAAAGAAAATCGCGTCTAGTAAAAAAATTTGCTGATATTTTTCACTGAAATTTCTGGTATCGGCTTTAATTGATATAATAAATATGCCAGAGGAATTTCAGAAAAATCGTTGGAGCAGAAGTCCATAACTAAAAGTCGGTCAAAATTCAGCAGTGAAATTGTTTTGGAATTTCAAAAATAAATTACTATCAGGTAGAAGGAGCCACCAGTTTGAATTTTCGGGACAAGTAAATTCAACGCTTGCTAATTCTTAAAACAAAAGCCGATTGCCTATCGTGCTATTCTTTAAAAGGTACTTTTCAGTTTTTAGAAGCACTATAAATTGCTCCAAACTTTGCTCTGACATCGAATGACTTGTTCCTCGACATTTTTAAAATATCCCTTGGCAGTTTTGGTTCAAACTCCTGCTACATGCATTTTGATGTATTGCAAAGCATCCCCAACGGCTTTTCCTGCTTTACGTTGTTTCCAATTCAGGAAAAAGGTATTGGGATTGTAAGCTACCTAGTATCGAAGCTCAGATAGAACTGTCCAGTACCTTTGTTTATGACCAGAAAATGAGCACGAGCGGCAGCTCTGCGAGGAATTCGCACCTCAGCCAGGGGGGACGAGTGACAATGATGCCCATGTCTGTGAACCGATCTGTATAAACATGTATTGCAGAGCAAAACATAATAATCAAGAAAAAAAATACCCATTCATTGAAGGAAGGAGTGACAAAAATTTCAGAGTTGTAAATTTATTCACGGGCAATATTTTTGCGATAATTTTATTTTGCACTGTGATGTTATTTGGTTCACAAGCATGGTCATCATTGTCGTTCGTCCCCCCTGAGTGAGGTGCGAATTCCACGCAGAACTGCCGCTCGTGCTCATTTTGTAGTCATAAACAAAGGTGCTGGACAGTTCTTTCTGAGCTCTGATACGAGGTAGCGTCCAATCTCAATACTTTTTTCCTGAGTTGGAAGCAACGAACGGCAATAAAAGTCGTTGAAAATGCACGGCAATACATCAAAATGTATGCAGCAGGAGTTTTAGCCAAAACTGCCAAGGGATATTTTAAAACTGTCGACGAACAAGTCATTCTACTTCAGAGCAAGGTTTGGAGCAATTTATAGTTCTTCTAAAACTAAAAAGTACCTTTCAAAGAATGGCACGATAGGCAATCGGCTTTTGTTTTAAGAATTAGCAAGCGTTGAATTTACTTGTCCCGAAAATTCAAACTGGTGGCTCCTTCTACCTGATAGTAATTTATTTTTGAAATTCCAAAACAATTTCACTGCTGAATTTTGACCGACTTTTAGTTACGGACTTCTGCTCCAACGATTTTTCTGAAATTCCTCTGGCATATTTATTATATCAATTAAAGCCGATACCAGAAATTTCAGTAAAAAATATCAGCAAAATTTTTTACTAGACGCGATTTTCTTTGAACAGTAGGGTCCTTTTAAGCACTAATTTCTCAAGAAATATTTACCATCAGTGAAATCGGAATATTTTGTGTTATTGCCGAATGATATCTGTTGTTCTTTGCCAAGTTTCGCAGCCATCGCGTTAAAAACCAAAAAGTTATGACGGAAAATTTGTCACAGTTAAATGCTCTTGTATTAATTACGGAGCCACCTTAACAAATATGAAAACGGTGGTTTAAAAATGATCGATCTGGAAAGTATGATTTAATCTTTATGACCAGCCTGGCTGAAAAGGATTTTCCAGTGCAACAATGGTGCTTGAAGAAGCTTTTTACGGTTTTCGTTGGAACCTTTTGAGGGCCTCTTTTTATTTCATTGTGATTATGACATTAAAGGGATACATATTTCCTCTAAATTCTATCCCGAGTTACTTCACAGGTGGTCTGAGGTTCGTAGTGTTTTCGATAGTAGAAGGGAATGTCAATATATTTTGTGGAATAACAAGGAGATACGCGTTGATAATAAGCCTGTTTTCTATAAAAAAAAAAAAACTTGTTGAACAAGATATCATTTTCGTAAAAGATCTTTTGTTTGAATTAGACACCACAAATTCTTTTACTATTGTTTCGAATAAAATTAGCAAGATTAGCTACCTAATTTGGGCAGGGCTTCGTCATTCTGCTCCCACAGATTTAAAGGAAAGCAATTGTCTTCGCTCACAATAAGCTTAATATTGACAATCGATAACAAAGAATTTGATATATTAAAAAAGAAATCTAAAGATTACCACATGCTAATTAAAAAAATAATTGCGTTGTATCCAAAAAATTCCAAACACTTGTGTCAAGATTTTAATCTAACTCAAGACCAGCTCAAAAAAGTATCCCTTCTTCCTCATGAGGTAGCTTTTGAACCTTATCTAAAAGGTTTTCAATACAAAGTCCTTAATTCAACTTTATTTACCAATAAAGAGTTATGCAAAATAGGTTATATCCAAGATGATAAATGTTCACTATGCATAACGGATTCGGAATCCCTTTATCACATCTTTTTCGAATGCAGACACACCAGGCACTTTTAGAAGGAATTTCAATATTACCTTTGTACATTGACAAGAGAATTCGTCTGTCTGACCTTACAAGACGTTGTGCAGGAATATTATATACAAATTGCCCTTTACTGAATTATTTGATACTGATCGCTAAACTATACTTATAGGGTTGTAGAAGAAATCAGACTCCTCCAGTCATAACTGCCTTTTCAACCAAGGTTTTAAAAGTATGAAGCATAAAAGTACATATGTGTTAAAACTAAGAAAATGAACAAATTTAATAGCAAGTGGGCTCTGCCTTTGGACTCTGTACCTTAGTGACGTATGTACTTAGAACGTACTTTTCATTTTTTGTATAGTTACTTTAGCGTTAAAGTTCATAGTCTAATTAACAATTATTCCACGAGGGCGTGTTGGATATGAGATGATAGATAGCCAACGAGGCGCGTAGCGCCGAGTTGGCTATAATCATTTCATATCCAACAAGCCCGAGTGGAATAATTGTTTTATTAAAAACGCCCACAAAACCTCGTTGAATCGCCCCGACTAGAACAAACCGGAAAAGACAAGGGACTTCCGCTATTCACATGTCACACGTCTATCAAAACTGTCAACGCGCGAACGGACTCGCCTAGACTGCATGAATGAAAAATCAAAACATTGTAGCGATGAACATTTGTTTTTTAAAAACTCATCGGGATTCTAGGATTTTACACAGCAGAAATGCTAAAAGAACCTGGCAGATAATGAGAAGGAAAGGAATTTTTAAGTGACAGCCGTCGAAATTACTATGAATTTGGATTTTCGGTGCAGTTATAAAGTAAGAACAACGTAGAAAAACTACCGGTATTACCTCGGTCGCTTGTTATGAAGTTGTTTGAAGCCACAAGCTGGTTTTGCTGAACGCGAAAAGAAGCTATACTGCCGCCTCGATTGCTCTAGTGAATGGCTGCATAGCCTGTATTTGTACCTGGTTACTTGTGATTTATATTCTTGATGTCGGATAAACAAGCTGCAGTTATCTATCGGCGAGTGACTCGATCGGCGAATGGCTTCGCGATCATGAAGAAACAACACTTGTCTTCTTTCGTAGCTGGTCAAGGTACTTTAGTTCCATGTGTTTTCATGTGTTTTTCGACAAACCTTCAAACAAGCTCTTGTGGCTTTTTTGTTTGTTTTTGTCTTTTTTCTTTCGATGAAATTGCATTTCTAGTATTCTAAGAAATGAATTAAAACGATTTGCTTCGGGCGCCGTTCTATCCTTCGCGAAAAAAGATCTCAGCTAGCTTCCAATTTTAAACTGACGCGTACACCGACCATATATGGAGAACATGGTATATTAGCTCATATACCATAACGGCTAAGCCAATCAAAATGCTAGAATTGCATTATCCAATGATTCAGTTTTTAATAATATGTATTTGTAATGTATTGTAATGTAATATAATGCAATGCCATGTAACGTTAGTATTGTAACACTGTGGAGTATTTAATAAAAGTTTGAAAAAAAAAAGAGTTATCGACGCTTACTTTTCTGAACTTCGAGGATAAATATTACCGAGTGTCGAATTGTCGTATTCATCCATTGAATTTAAATTGAAAGTAAACTCTGTTTTTCTTCGTGTTAATATATAGATTTAGCCAGGGCTAAAAGCGACGTTTCCATTAATAAATTTGTAATTTAAATCAAACAATAAACTTGTATTCTACAAATCAGTTCACTTTAGAGCACATCCATGTGACTTTCAAAGGATTAAGGCTGAGTGATTTGAGAGAAAAATAATCTGCTAACAGTCCAGAAGTGCACCAAATCTTACATCGAGTTGATGGTCTTTATATCTAAAAAAATAGCAATCGTCTTCGATCACATTTAACGGCCATAATGGGTCTCGATCACAGTAGATTAGGCCTGGAAAACAAATTCTTGGAAAGCAAATCAGACAGAATTGTTTTCCGTTTGACAAGTTAAATTTGCTTTACAAAATCTTGCTAACAAATCTGGGGGCGTGTAAGCCAACCTTTTATACTTTTTATACATCACAACTGAGGTGAAACAGTACTATGAGGAGCTGTTTTTATCTTACAGACCTCGGACAGAATGCAGTATTTCACAATTTTGAAATATAAATTGCACTCATTCAATATTCAGAATGATCGAAGCACGCGTGGGCTTTTAGCGAAACCGCTAAAAAAGATTTCTTAAATCACCTATATAACGGCCAGCCGGTTGCAAGCTGTGGAGTGTTTGAATGAACATTAATAGAGTTACACTTTTTTAAATATAATTGAGTGAAACATTTACAGAGACAACAATTTTCATTCACGAAGACAAGTATTAAAGTGTCTCTATGAATCCTGAGTCTTTATGCTTAAAGCTTAAGTTTTTTTGTTTTAAGCCGGCTTCCCCGTGTTTGCTGTTTTCAAAGATGAACTCGAGGCGAGAAAATTGCTCAAAGCTTTCTTTCTACAGCCAAAATAATAACGCAACGTTTTTTCCTTTCTATTTGCGGTGAGAAAATATCGACTAAAGGCTTTTTAAAGTTCTGCAAGCTTAAATCAAACCTCATACTATAGGTCAGATCATTATCTCAAAACTTAATTCAAACGTGCATAAACTCGCCTCATAAACTGCGCTCGGCTTCATGAAATTGGATATATTAAAAAAAAACAAACACAAATACAATAATTACTTGTACTTAGGCTTACCATTCGAGATGCAGCTCCTGGAAGCTATCAAGCATGGCCAGAATCGCTTCAGACTTTTCAATCAAGCAAGGTGAAAAACGAAAACGAACCGATGCTATCCGAAATCGGATTTCCGACTTTGACAAGCGACGTATTTCTGAACCTAAAACCCAATAAACCAACTAGCCATGAATAACAGAAGACTCTTGATAGTCGTTCATTTCGTACATCCAGTAGAAAAAGACAGTTGAAAACATCACAAGTTGACACAAAACTCTGTCAGCTTCAGCTGTCACAGTAAATAAGTTTCAAGAAGCTGCATAAATTTTCCGCATGAACTCACCGTCAAATTTTAACCAATCAGAGCATAAAAATTGGACGTAGAGCGTGACCGACGCGTGACCATTGTGAGAACAGTCAAAAGCAACTGTCTTCTTTGCCTGTAATAGCCTAGCTGACTGAATTTTCGCGTCCGAGATCAGTTTGAAATCAACATTTTAATCTGTGTGGCACTTAAACACAACATATTTTATACGAATTGAAAAAATTAAACTTGAGCCTGCGACCATTTGAAAACTAGTAACTTGCCAGCGGATAACTTCAAAAAATACTCGACCTCGATGGGCCGACACCTGAGACCGCGATACGGTTAGGTGATACTGGGCAGCAGATACCCTGTTTTGACAGCTGTCAATTTATCACAACATCGATGTGCAATATGTGTGCAAGATCAGTTTTTCTATGCTCCCAAATGGTGTTGGGTAGATTTACTTACCCATGGTGCTCCGCTGGCACGCTTCGCGCGCGGAGCTCCGCTATTAAACGAGCAAATAAACAGTGAGAGACAAAGGATGAGTCAATGAGTAACATCACTATATAAACAGCAGAAACGTGTGAGGTACAACCCTGAAGTGGCACAATCAGGTTTTCTTTTTCTCTTTTTTAGTGCGGCCTGATGTTTACAATGATTTGATCTGCGCCGATTCGTCATGATTACCAAAATGTCCCTGAAATGTTTACAGGTATTATAAGGAACGACCTACCTCACGAATTACGGTTCCTGAAGCGAACGATATGTTCTAAAAATTAGTCGCCACTTCCGAGAAAGCCGCAAGGAGGAGTGATTGACAGCTCTCCAAAGTAGATCTCAAAGCTCAGCCAAAAGGTGAGACAACGTGTCTCTCACTTGTTCGAGTTTGTCTAGCCCTCAAAAACTCGCTCGAACCATGTGACCCAAAACGCATGGGCCGCGCGCAATATTGAGGCCTAGAGACTTGGCAACTTTAAGCAAAATTGCTTTGTCGATGGCGTGTTCACGAAGTACATCAGTTTTGATGGCCCCATTACACATGACAGAACTTAAATTATGGTTCTGGTTAAAATATATTGTTTTCGACTGAGTCACTTGTCTTAAAATAAGCTTAATGCAGAACGTAGGTTTCCGACAAACAACACGCTTTTTACAATAACTTTGATTTCATTAAGAGGTCTTACAGGAACAACCTTTTATAGCCTCGGAATATACAGAATATCACCCACTTAGAAACATTTCAGACCCGGGGTGAGACACGAATTCATTTGTTAGGTCCAGTTGCAGGTCAATTTCCATTTCTTACTTAGGTACTTCACTGAAAATTTTCACTTATAACTAATGAAGTATTTTGTTGTGTTCTTCACTAAACAAGGCCTATCAGAACTGGGTAGCAAAGAACGGCGAGGAATCCAGACTTCCAGGAATGAATCTGACCAATGAACAGATCTTTTTTATCAGCTTCGCAAGAGTTAGTAAATCAATATTATCATGTATTTAAAATGTGCTGTGTTTTGATTTTGTGATTGGGCCTTGTTTGTTTGTCTGTTCTACTGGTTTTTTTTATTTTTGATTGATTGATTGATTGATTGATTGATTGATTGATTAATTGAGGCAAAAACTAATAGTAGTCTCCTTATAATCTTGATTATGTAATCTACCAAGTTTCACTGAGCAGATAATGTCCCCTAAAACTTTCACTTCTTCACATAAGGACGTGGAGAGGGTGCCGACATAGGCGTACGGGCCGGGGGGGCGAGGGGGGCTGCAGCCCCCCCAAATTTTGGGCAACTCAGATTTTTGGGGCAGCGAGAGAAAATTTGGGCAAAGCCAGTTTTTAAAGACGTTTCCATGTTTATTTAATTATTTTAAAGACCTGAATATTAACCTGAAGTCGGCGTAATAATCCAGTTACATTACAGTAATTGCCTAGCATGTCATGAGTAATTTACATATTTGCAGTTGTTTTTGTTGGGCACTATACTGCACTGCACTAGCTGGAATGGGCTATTTCCAGTCGTGAATTGATTAAAATAAACTTTCGAATAACTTTCTAGAATCATCTCTACTGGAAGAACAGAGTATGGCAGATAGCATTTAGTAATGGGTATGAAAATGAAGAAGTGGCTGACTAATTCTCAGTTTGAATTACGAGAAGAATTTTAATTCTTTTAAAAAGTCTATCGAGCGGTTTAAAATTATTCGCTAATTTGTTAATTAAAGTACACCGAAATGTTTACAAAACCGCTAACAAGAGTGTCTCGATACATACTAATCAAATCCTTCTTTCGATTCTAGCAATCAAGCAGAGCTATCTCCACGATCTTTCACACATGTTTTTAAAAAGATATAAACTACTATGAGGTGAAATTGCAGGTCAAAAGCGCTTCGTTTTCTACAGATAACGGCCAAAAATCAAGATTTTCCTGTTCTTACCGTATTTCTAATAGTAAAAACTTCATTACAAAATATCTCGATAAGGTTTTGCTTAAACTTCACGAACATCGAGGCGACAGTATTGGAGAAAAAAGCTCCTGTGAACGATTTTGTAAGGTTCCCGTGCCGGGAATCATTGCTGAAGTAAAATAGGTAATGGGCCGGGGGAGTCATTTCGTTGCTATGACAACTCCGATGTCATTGCAACTCTGATGATGAAAAATTTTCATCTTAATACAACTGTGGTCGCAATTTTTCAAAATGTTTGTTTATGGCGACGTAGTTTATGCTCAGACTTGGTATTGACCCTGAAAAACCGTATCGAGCCACCTTCATATGCGAGGACGGCCTATGTTGTTGCAATATGGCCCTCATTTCTTTTCGACTCTTTCGGAAAAATTTGGGCAACTTGCGAGATTTTTTTGGGCAAATGGTTTACCGCCCCCCCTGGCAAAAAATTTCCCGTACGCCTATGGGTGCCGATTATGCACACAGCTTGTGTTGACACCCTGTTAGTAAGGGGCTTAATATTTTAATAGTATAATTACTTGAGAACATACCAATTTCTTAAATTAATTAATTTTTTCTATTTTATTAAAGAATTGGTGTTCAGTATTTTCAGCCCAAGGTGAACAGATTGCAATGATGAGTGAGCATAGTCCTGCGCCATGGAGGTAAAATCTTGTTAACTTACAATAATTATAGCAATTCCACCAAATTAGTTGTACTGTTACATGTACTGTTAATTAAAAGATTCAACCAACTTAGCAAAACAAAAGCATTATACTGTATTGATAACAGTACCTGTCAATTTTGCGTGGAAATTAGACTGCATTTCTTCCCACTTTCTGTAACAGAAAATAGTAGTTCACTCGGCGAAAATATAACAGGTGATTTCATTGTAGCTCGTCTATCTCTTGATTGTTTTCAACCCCAAGACTCTTCGTTACGATGTCTGAAATGATTCTCGATTGTGTAACAACGGCGTTGTAGCTTCTTTGTCGCTTAAATGGTAGATTTTTCGCTTTCTTTTTAATAAAAAGTACAAGAAACACCTTCCCTGGAACTTGCTGAATGCTTATCCAGGATTATTATTCATTCAAAATATTTCTCTGATTCTGATTGGCTAAAAACACAAGCATAATTCACCAAAACCAGCTACTGATGACCAAATTTGGAAGAATTTTGCATTCTATGAACTGATGACGTCAAAAGTGCAGCCTTCTTGCAGGTTAATGCACTGTTAACCGAGAAGACTTGCGGATATTTCACTCGTTTCAAGAGTAAGAACTGGGCGAAATTATAGCTAAAAACATGGCAAGAACAGCAAGAACACAACTCGAAGGGCGACATCTGCTATCTGCAGAGCCGCGGCTGAACAACTCTAAACGTGCACTATCGAAGATGAACTTAACATCGATGGAGGTAAGCATGTTTTAGCTTTGCTTTTAAACTACGAATTATTTTGAATGAATAATAAAACAATTATTGAATTCGGCTTTCGTATCATATGAAGAATTATGGAGACCTCGGAGGGTGTTATCCGCCTCGGCCGGATAACACCCTCCTCGATCTCCATAATTCTTCATACGATACTCGGCCTCATTCATTAAGTGTTAAATATATATCAGGGGCACCCAACGGCAATTTTCGGGAAAATATCTGTTCGGAAGACGATTTGAGAACTAGAATTTTCGGAACATTTGTTGTAAAATTTCTTGCTTGCCTGCCTCTCCTAGGATTTTCGAACATCTACAAAATGGTATAATTACCCATTTTAAACGGATATTTACCCTAAAAAAGACCACCTAGAATTTTCGGGAGCCTTTTCCTGGCTGAAATTTTCGAAAAGGTAAGTTTTGATTCCTATAATTTTCGGATCACTAGACTTTCAGCTAGGAAATCTGAACAGATGAAAAGTTTTTAGGGGATAAAAATATGCCTATATCTACCGTTTAAATACTAAAATACGTTCAACAATGCGTTGGTTTTGAACTATATCCTCGTTTGGTGCCCCTGTCTGGTTAAAACCAGTTTTGTTACTGAATTTCAAAGTTCGAGAAATCAAATGTAAGTTTATGAAAGGACAGAGTATTAGTTTGAAATATCGGGTTACGGTGTCCGACCGAAAAAAAACTAAGGGAAACTTCTTTTGGTTCGAAAAACTGGGAGTTTCGAGTGTTTGAAATGAAACATTGAATAGCGATCTGCTTTCAAATTTAAATTCTTGTTCAATTCATTTTAATGAATACATCCTTGCTCAGCTAGTTAGGAAAAGCTATCAAAAATTGATTTGGCAATTGCTTATTATTTCATCAACCCAGTTGATTTATATTGGGGTTTCCGGAAGCGTAAATGGGACATGCTCCTTTTTATTTGTCACAACTTTAATCTATAAATTAAGAATTTAAATTTCAAATCTTGTCCTCTTCTAAGACAAAGCTAAAGCTAGTGTACAACGTAACTAACCCAAACAATTTGTGTTCTCTCAAGGTTTTTACAAGGGCTTTGAACTTGTTTCTGCTTTCCTTCTTTAGAACAAAAGCATCTCTGATGAACTTCCCGGAATTTGCCGCAGCATTCAAATGCCGTTTAGGGAGCCCAATGAATCCGATCAAGAAGTGTGCGGTCTGGTAACGAGTCCAGAAACACGATTTTCAAGTTGATGATTTGAAAATCAAGTCATTCTTCATTTAGACTTTTGATCTTACTGCACGGCTTTTAGTGCTAGCTTCTAATCTCGTTCTAACACTTTTTTTTGTGCTCTAAGAAACTGCTTATTTGAATGTTTCTTTTGACATTTCGTTGCTTTCATGGTATTTGTCGGTACAGCTGTCTCATTCATTGCTAAATTTTCGTCCTTCAAAACTGTTGGAAAGCGAGACGCCATTTAAATTCCCGTCCTAAATAGCCAAGGATATCTATAGACCTAATTGCTGCCCAATGATTTGGTGAAAAGACTAGTAGTTGATACTTTCGTGCCTTACGCTGTGAATGAGAAAACGTTTTGTCTTAAATTTCGTTTTATACAAAGGACCCGCGCATTACATGTAAAATATACATGTTAAGGTTTTGAACTAGCTTCACTTTTATCTAATAGACAACAATGTAAATGGGTAAATAAAAGACTTCCTGTCTGGGATGACTCTTTCCAAGAGACTGTTTTTAACAAGGCTTCCCAAAGAACACTATCCGCAGAATTTAAAAAATCATATACATTTATAAATAATAAAATCAAGTTGAAGCGAATATGTGGGCAAAGCATTCGAGAAACTTTTAAGTGAAGGAGATCGTTCCCGAGAGGATGGGAAAACTACTCACAAGTATTAAGGAAGGGTAAAATAAATTTATGGGAATCTTGCATTTCCTCTGGATAATCGAGCCCCCGCCCACAGGAAACCAATCACAGACTTCATTTGCGAAAATTGAATTAGGTTGGCCCTCCATCAAAGATCAGCTATTAGTCCGTGATACTACCCAAGTATACAAAATTGTTAGCCTCGCTCCGTTGTACTTGAGTATTAAACTCAGTAAGCGATCAGACGCACACCACTACAACACGAGAAAAAGGGACAATCTAAATCTCCCTCTATGCAGAACAGTTACTGCGCAACGGTCATTTTACTATTACGCTGTAATTGCCTGGAACTCTCTGACTGCAGACACTAGAAATAGCCCTTCACTATGTACCGTCAAATTGCGATACATACACATACAATACAATACCTTTATTTGCCTTTTACTTAATCATATACATGAAAGAGAAAAATATATATATATATATATATATATATTTTTATTTGTACTTAATAAGGCCTGGAGCTGAAATAATCCTAAGATTTCCTAGCCGGGGGGGGGGGGGGGGGGGGGGGGTGGTGAAGCTACTTCTCATACATTTTCTTAAATGAAATCCAAACGATGTTCTCACAACTTGCAAAGCCATCGGCAAGGGTCTTGCCAGCGGATTTGTGTACTGATCATGCGCATTACGTCAAAAACGATAGATCAACGGTCTTGAGAAAAAACAAAAACATGGCAGTCGAAGGCGGGACTGTTTCTTACTGTTATATTTTGGTAATTCGCAAATTTATTGATTTTATGTCGCTTCTCAGACATAGTGTGTGGTTTTCTTTTTCTGTTAAACAACTTCCCTTCGCAGAGTTTGGAATATGCAACATATAGCTCCGTATAGCTGCTAAGAACCGCCGAAGAGTTGAGCTATCGAGCAGTTTTTTGCTCCAAACCTTAGGAAAGGTAAAGTCGCTTCAAGGTACAGAGCTTTCAGTAGTAGTTGTGATTTGTTTTAGGATCGTTTTGAATTTTAACTTTGGATTCAAGGTGTTGACTGATCACAATAAACTGCAATAAACGAAGTGACATGTTATGAAGTGTTAATTTTAATTCAGTTATATGTAGAGAAGTAAGCTCATTTTTATAAAGCTCTCTTGAATATACTTGCTTCCGATAAATTTGACACTTGCTCCAGTAATTTTTATCAGCATCAAGTTATCCTTGCCCGGCAAAAACGAACGATGTAACCTATAAATAAATCCATCGAGCGCGTTGTTGTTGGTTAAGATCTTGAACGGTTGTGTTTTAGTTTTCCCGCATTTCAGTACCGAAAGACAAATACGATATGTAAGAAACACAAAGATGCATGATATGATTTTTTTCAATTTTTTAAGCATTTCTGATTTCCTCTGTCGGCTCGCTTCTTGCTTCTAAAAAGTCTAAAAATATTTTCTGTAGGAAAAATACAGCAATTATCCGCTGACCACCACGCTGGATGACCGCTTTGCAAGTTGTGAGAACATCGTTTCTAGGTCCCAGACCTCGTCTCTCCCCCCCCCTCCGGCCTAGCCAGTTCTCCAGAATTTAAAGTTTTAGAGAATTGAGATAGAATTTATTTCCAAAGAGGCAGTTTTAAAATACAATGTATTAAGAAAGAAAGAGCATATGCTTAAGTTATGTTAACTATGTTGTTCTGACAGCAAATAAGGTTTCAATTGTTTTTGGAATTGGTATGTGTTTAGTTCTTTAAGAGTTTAGGGAATTTTGTCCCAGACGGTACATGCAGCATATCCGATTGTTTGTAACCCCGTATTAGTTCACACTTTTTTTACGTGAAGATTCTGTTTCGATGCACATCTGGTATTGTATTTGTGGACATTACTGGCATATTGAAAATAGTTTGAGAACAGCTTTGGCAGGAGGCGTTTTTGCCAGAGGTACGTGAATTTTAGAATCTGAAATCGATAAACATTATGTATCGTAAGAACGTCTAATAAATTTAGCAGGGGAAGTTTACTTTCTGTGTGTTCACCATAAGTGGTGGCAAAGGAAATAAAAAAGAAAATAAGCCTAGCAGAATGATTTTGCTTAGCTTCTATCTTATCAATAATTATGTGTTTTGTATGCACTCCCCCATGCCAATATTGCATAAGAGATATATGGGTTTAGTATATACACACTCGGTGATCTTGGTAATTCAAGCAATCCACTGCATCCACTGTTTACGGCTTCGTGTTCACGCATGAATTCACCCGTCAATCAAAGTATCGTTTTTTAATGGTTTCCTTTCTGATTCTGTTGAGATCTCTTCCTGTGAATATACTAGCTCAGTTAATATTGTTGAATAATCCCCTCGACTTCGTCTTGGGGATTATTCAACAATATTAACTTCGCCTTCGGCGACTAATTGTTAAATATTAAGCTGTAGTAGATTTGTTTCATTTGTAGAAGAGTTAGATAATGTCTCAGCTTAGATATAATACCATTGTTTCGCGCAATTCTTGTACAGATGTATGATATATGGTAATTGAAAGACATCGTTTCATCAAGCAAGACACCTAGATATTTTATTTTTTGCTTCCTTTGTAGCACATTTTAGTCAGGTCTCTTAGTGCAAAATATAGGCCGGATCGTTACAGACGTGACAAAAGTGTCAAATTTGGCACAGAGCTTCCTTAGCACCTACCGATTAATACTGGAGGGGGTGCCCGTTACAAATGGTGCTAATTACAGATAAAAGGACGGGTTAACTTTCACCTATAATAGCAGATTGGGTGTCCTGTGGTGAGTATTCTTCTTGTTAGATTTGGCTAAAAAACATTTGTTGCAAATTTTTAAGTTTTTAATTTGGTAATGTTTAGTTGTTGTTACACTATTCAAAATAGTTTTACATGTACATAATACTGACTAGTGCCCAGTCTCCACACGGTAAGTGTGGCCATGTTCATTGTGCGGACTGTGCGGCTATCAGTGTCACTGCTAAGACTTGCCAGTGATAATATCATTACATATCAATTTAAACGGATCACAAAGCCAGCTTTCAAAGATGTCATACAATAACATAAAACTCAAATGTATCACATCCTAAACGATAGAATCGTAAAGTTTGACATGCCACATGAACGACCTCATGAACCGTAACTGACAACGCGCCCACTTTGTAATTGTGCAGCTAAGATTAGATTATAATTTTCTTCGTCGGTAACCCTGTCCTTGAGATAATGATTAAAACATGTCAACCTCCTCCTCAGGGGGAAAAGGAGGAGCAAGGGTGGCACAGTTGGTTAGTGCGCAGCCTTCGGGGCGAGAGGTCCCGAGTTCGAACTCGGTGTCAACACCTCCTTATTTCAACTTCTCTTTTTTCTGTGTAGCTTTGACTGGCTTTAAATACCTTTAAAACGGAGAATTAATGGAGAGAGGGGGGTAAAAGGAGCACACCGTCGACCTCAAGTTTATCACTTATTATTACTGTCATGAGTTATTGACGTAAAATATGGTCGCTTTACCTTTTTCTACCTTTTTATTAAGCCCTGGGGACGAGGTTGTAAAACATGCCTCTCCAGGAATTTTTAACACTCTTTATTTTTTGCACAGTTGCATTTAAAAAGAAGTGTATGAGGTCCCTGCATGCCTATACACCTGTAAGCGGCTCATTCCCTTCAGAGCCCTTGGACCAGAGTGTTAATGGTACGTCTATACGATCTTTCAAAAAAAGGAAGGTCGTCGCGTGCGTTACAATTTACAAACAAACTAACTTCAGAAGAGCTGAAATTAACAGGAACAAGGCCTCTTTTAGCCAACCAATGATGCATCATTTATGAAAATGAATGTAATGTGTTTGATGCAATTAGGCGAATACCCCGTGGTTACTGAAATCTTACGATCATGAATTCCTCAAGAGCAATTCAGTTACCAGCTTTTCACGAAATAATGCTGTGGAAAATTACCTAAAATACCAAAAAAGCAAGGGTCAAAAATAATTATGGCCTGGTCCCTTATAATAATGGAGTGGTCATGATAAAGAAGCCCATCAGCCCCAACTTTGACCACTCAAACAGATTTTTGACAGATTACATACTGCAAAACTTTGCATTCACTTATGCCTATGTTGCTACACCAGGAGCCTAGAAATCGGCTCCTGGTCACACCTTGTTTTTATTGCTGAATATCATTCTAAAGAGCTTTACGAAATATTTTGTTAGTAGGGGTGTTTTAAACATGATTGATATTTAGAGATGGTGACAAAAACGAACACAGAAATAGTCACAAAACAAGACGCATGAAACAACCGCAATCTAATATTCGTTTTACACCGATATAATGGCTTCTTTGGCTGCTATGCTGACGTTCTTGAAGATGGCCGGTAGTATCACAGCTAGTCCCGGGTTAGGTATAACGTTTATTACCAGTTTCACGGTTCCTGAGACTTAGGGCCTGTTAACATAAAGGTGGGGGACCCCAGGTAGGTGAGGTAACCTGCTAAGGTGGGGTAAAAAAATAACCCTCCTTTACATGCAATCTTACAACCCCTCCATGCTGGGGTGCAGTTTCTCAAGATTATATGAATGGTCGCTAACCATGTAAACAAGAAAAATGCTGGCAAACCACGTCTACGCTCAATTGCTGCTCTTGCTGCAACCTTCAGTGTTGTGGCTTTCTATTGTTACCTTTAATAATTATGTGAAGCCACCCAGCGCCAAAGTGAATTTTGCGGGAATTTGATGTATCTCGAATCCGACCCCGACTAGCCTGGGTTTCCTCACCTTGAAACGTTGATATGGCAAAATTTGATCTCAGCTGAGAGGGTTACCTGGTGTGGCAGACCAGGCTACCCACCTTGAAGGGTGACCCCACCTATCATGTAAATGTGATCAAATTAAAATGAGAGATTATACGGACAGGCGGGTTACCCCACCTAAGTGGGTTACCATTCCTACCTGGGTTCCCCTTCCTTCATGTAAACAGGCCCTAAAAGTTAGCCCGGCCCCCTTTCTACAGTTTCAGCAGTTAAACTATTCACCATTTATCATTTGAGTCAACCTTTTACCACTTGAGTCTCACTTTTACGACTTGATAAGCTGTTATTATTGTTGGACATGAGTGCTTCAGTGCCAAATGTAGAGGCTTCATGATAAACTGTGCTGTTTTTTGAAGCTTGGGCTAACTTGTTTCTTTTTTTCGTTTATGAGACCAGATTCTTTTTTGTTTGTTTT